TTAGAAACAATGCTGATGGCCTAGAAGCAGGACTGTCCCATAGAAATATAGCACAGACCACGTAATGGAACATAAAAGGTTTTGGTGGCCACATTTAAAAAGAGAGAAAGAAACAGGTTAATATATATTCTTTAATCCAGTAGATCTAAATTATCATTCAACCTGTAATCAATACTTAAAGATTATTATTGAAATTTTTACTTTTTTTTTTTTTTAATACCAAGTCCCTCGTCGCGGCCATAAAACTGGTGCAGAGGCACCATGCACAGGAGTGGTGTGCTCACTCTGAGCTCACATCTGCTAGGCCTCCAACTGTTAACGTAGAAAATCAAACAAGTGTTCTCATTGGTTGGCAACCCTCAGCATCTCTTAGAGAGTAGAGAGGAAACATCTGGGAGGACTGTTACTTTAACCCAAAATATTTCCCAAAATGACAGCATTGGTAGGTTAAGTGAAAGTGGCTGAGATCTTGAAAGAAAATGAGTTGGTGGGCGCCTGGGTGGCTCAGTCGTTAAGTGTCTGCCTTCAGCTCAGGTCATGATCCCAGGGTCCTGGGATCGAGCCCCCGCATCGGGCTCCCTGCTCCGCAGGAAGCCTGCTTCTCCCTCTCCCGCTCCCCCTGCTTGTGTTCCCTCTCTCGCTGTCTCTCTCTCTGTCAAATAAATAAATAAAATCTTAAAAAAAAAAAAAAAAGAAAATGTGTTGGTGAGCCCCATACAAGAAACTTGAACTTAGATGTTTCTAGACTAGAAAGTATCAAAGGAAAGGTAGGCAGGTATTCTTGAGACTGTGGCAGAGATGGTGACTCAGAAGCATTAATTTAACTGACTGTTATGCTAAAGAAAGATACAGTGGGAAGACCCAGTGGGTCTTCTGATGAAAGCTTTCTGATGACTCAGATTTTAAGGGGGTATTTTCAAAAGATGGAAAGTAAGGGTAGCAAGCAAGGATGAATATGTGTAAGAGTTGTGTTGTGGAATTGCAACATAAAATAAACAGACTTGCAAAAGAACAGGCAGATTGAAAGAGCCTTCAGAGTTTGGTTTGGTGCAGTTCCAGTTACTGGGAAAAGAATCTCTGCTTTGGACTACTTGTGTTTGCATTAAATGATTAAATAGAAATTAAGTTAAATTAAGTGAAAATAAAATTTTTACTGCTTTTGTCTTCTCCATTAAGAACAAAGATGTTCGGGCGCCTGGGTGGCTCAGTCAGTTGGGCATCTGCCTTCGGCTCAGGTCATGATCCCAGGGTCCTGGGATCAAGTCCTGTATCGGGCTCCCTGCTCAGCGGGGAGTCTGCTTCTCCCTCTGCCTGCCACTCCCCCTGCTTCTGCTCTCTCTGTGTCAAGTGAATAAATAAAATCTTTAAAAAAAAAAAAAAAAAAAGAACGAAGATGTTCAAAAGGGTTGAGACAAATTAAATCCTACAACAGAGAAAGAATTTGTGAAAAGAATTGCCAAGCCCTTCTGTGATCTTTGAGGAAGTCTGGGGATCTTCAAGGGGAGTTTAATAATGACAACTCCTCTTTCTTACACAAATCATGAATTTTTAAGATGAAGGCATGTGGGGTCAAAATATCCCCTTTACTACTGAGAAAGCTGATCTTGGAGAATGTGAGCTTCCTAATACTGAATTACAAACTTAGCCAGCAGTAACTGGAATGGGGCAACCCTCCCTATAGGTTTGCTGCCAAAAAGAAAGGGCAGGAGGCCTGGAGTGTTATGAGCAAGGTGGGCACCAACAAGGAAGTGAGGAGAATGGGGAAGTTTTTTAAATAATTTTTGAAACAATAAGGGAAGTGGCTTAGACTGATGAACTTGGTGCCAATTCTAGGCAAGATTCTAGACTAGATATCAAAAATACGGCTTTTTGAGCACCTGTGATAAGAAATCATGAATCATAAATTTGCTAACAAGTCTTAACTGATTTTCTTTATTAATTAGTTAAAAAATCTTGGATTATAAGAATGATACAGTTGTCGAAATCTATTTTGACAAGCCATTTGACAAGCTGTCTCTTTGTTTTAGACAAGATGTATAAATATAAGTTAAATGCTAGAACAGTTGTGTGGATTAGTAAACGATGGACTATTCCCAGCCCAATCACTTTCGGTTGGAAAGAAGTTTTTACTGACATGCTACTAGATTATCCTCAAGCTCTGTCAAGTTCAAGATTCCCATCAATGACCAGATAGGGAAACACAAACTGGGACTAAGTAGAATAATAGGTTAAAAAAGAATTTGGTGGAATGACTGTTAATAAGTTAACATATAATATTCATGGGGTACCTGGCTGGCTTATTAGGTGAAGCATGCAACTCTTGATCTCAGGGTAATGAGTTCCAGCCCCAAAATGGGTGTAGAGATTACTTGAAAAAAAATTTTAGGCACTTGAGTGGCTCAGTCGATTAAGCATCTGCCTTCAGCTCAGGTCATGATCCCAGAGTCCCGGGATTGAGCCCTACATTGGGCTCCCTGCTCAGCAGAGAGCCTACTTCTCCCTCTCCTTCTGCTGCTCCCCCTGCTTATGCTCTCTCACTCTCTCTCTCTGTCAAATAAATAAATAAAATCTTAAAACAACAACAACAACAACAATTTAAATCTGGGGCGCCTGGATGGCTCAGTCATTTAAGTGCCCAGCTCTTGATTTCGTCTCAGGTCATGATCTCAGGGTTGTGAGATCAAGCCCCAAGTCAGGCTCTGTGCTGGGCTTGGAGGCTGCTTAAGATTCTCTCTCTCCGGGACACCTGGGTGGCTCAGTTGGTTAAGAGTCTGTCTTCAGCTCAGGTCACGATCCCAGGGTCCTGGGATAGAGTCCCGTATCAGGCTCCTTGCTCAGCGGGGAGCCTGCTTCTCCTTCTGCCTGCTGGTCCCCCTGCTTGTGCTCTTTCTATCTCTCTCGATCTCTGACAAATAAATAAATTAAGTCTTAAAAAAAAAATTCTCTCCTTCCCCCCTCCTCCTTGCTCTTGCTTGCTCTCCCCCCCCCAAAAATTAACTCTTTTTAAAAATTAAATATTAAAAAAAATAAAATAGGAGTGCCTGGGTGGCTCAAGTTGGTTAAGCGGCTGCCTTCGGCTCAGGTCATGATCCCGGGGTACTGGGATCGAGCCCCGCATCGGGCTCCCTACTCAGCGGAGAGCCTGCTTCTCCTTCTCCCTCTGCCTGCAGCTCTGCCTGCTGGTGCTCTCTCTCTCTCTCTCTGTCAAATAAATAAATAAAATCTTAAAAAATAAATAAATAAATAAATAAATAAATAAATAAATAAATAAATAAATAAAAATATAATATTCATTTATTTAATAGATATTTATCAAGCATCTACTATGTGCTGTGCACATAAAGATCCTAAGGTCAAATCGTAAGTTAATACAACTCAACCCAGCTGCTTAAATATTACATAGGAGAACAAAACCTATTTTAAAATATTGTAGATTTTAATTGAAAGTAAGCTTAGTGTGTGAGTTGGGAGTTAGGATGCGTTCATCAGAGAAACGGAGATCTCAGGCATTGTTAGTAAAAGTCTGGCTTTTAACAGAATGGTTAGTGATGGCCAGGTCTACTTGGTACTCGACCACTCTAGAAAATGGCTTTCTGTCCTGGGCTCTGCATTGAGAAATTGGATGAGATATGCGTGAAAGAACTGATCATGTTTAGGCTGAAGATGAGACACAAAGAACTGTAATTGTCTCTAGACATTTGAAGAGCTGTCCCTGTGGAATAACATGAGCGTTTATGAAGTGCATTTCTAAGCCTTTGATGTGGATTACATAACATCCTCAATCACTAAAGTTAGGGAAATGAGGCTCAGAAGGGCTAGTAAGTAGCTTGCCCCGAGTCACACACCTTAGAAGTGGCAGCCCACGCAGTCTGCCTCCAGCACTACACACTTGACCAGTGTGCGACCTGCCACCCATGGAAGATTACGTTTGTTCTCCGCGGTACCAGCTGGTTCAGTGGGTTCGGAGAATGAAAGTGCAGGGAAACTCACTTCAGCTCAGTGAAAACATCTTAGACCAGCAGTCCGAAGGTGGGAGGGAGTCTTTTCTCTGTCCCTGAAGGTTCTGCAGCCTAGCCTAGCTCACTCCTGAAAACCGTGGAGAAGGAATGGGTTGAGTCATTTGACCTTTTAGGCTCCTTTGCTCTGCCTCTCTTGGACTCCCGAGTGTTTGGTATGAGAAGTCATGAATTGAAACTCCAGTGTCTCTTATTTACAGGCATGTGGGGCCAAAATATCCCCTTTACTACTGAGAAAGTTGATCTTTCTTTTTTGTACAACAGAAATACTTTGTTTTAGGCTTTATTATTTTTATGAAGTTTGATATATTTTGTTTCCATTTCCAGTAACAGTTTCTCAGGCAAGAGTCATATTGTCATTAAAACTTTTTGTCTTGCAGAAGTCTTCCTGATTTTAAATTCATAATTTTTATTGCAGAAAAATTAGAAAGCCTAGGAAGAGAATTTAAAAGCTCCTTTTCTAAAAAAGATTTTGTCTTGGGCGACTAGGCTCAGTTGTTTAAGCATCTGCCTTCTGCTCAGGTCATGATCCCGGGATCAAGCCCCACATTGGGCTCCCTGCTCAGTGGGGAATCTGTTTCTCCCTCTCCCTCTGCCTGCCACCCCCCGCCCCGCTTGTGCTCTTTTTGTCAAATAAATAAATAAAATCTTTAAAAAATGTTTTTAAATAAACTAAAAAGATTTTATCTTTAGGTAATCTCTACTCCCAACATGGGGCTCGAACTTACAACCCCCAAGATCAGGATTTGCACGCTCCACCGATTGAGCCAGGCAGGTGCCCCTAAAAGCTCTTAAAATCTCGCCGCTCAGAGATAACCATTGTTAACACTTCAGTGTATTTCTCCTGATCATTTAATATTTTTCACAAATATTTTTCAAGGAAAACCATTGATGCTTGCTTTAGACCTATTAAGACCTTTTTACAGAAAAAAAAATGTTTCGTTTTGGTAAGTTCTGAAAAATGCATCTTTTTTTTCTTGCTAGGTTTCTGCCTCAATGCTCAAGCAGTTTCCCAACAGTGGCCTGAATCCAGGTCTTTTCAATGTGGGGCCCCAGTTATCTCCTCAACAAATTGCCATGCTGAGCCAGCTTCCACAAATTCCCCAGTTTCAGTTGGTGAGTAGCAGATTTTCCCCCTTAGCTAAAAAAAAAAAACAGGTTATTTGCTTTTTTTTCCCCTTTAACTTCGATTTGCTTCGTTTTATGCATGCTTAAGGGTTAATGTCTCAGCTCCACTCGAGGTAAATGTGACCAGCGGACCAGGACCTGGGTAGTACTTCCCTCCTAGGTGCTTGATTCCGCCGCCGCACTCGGGCGCACGACCCACGAGGGTCTCAGTAAGTCCACTTAGGAGCCGGTGCCCCCCTGTGTTGTAGGCGTGTCAGCTTCTCCTGCAGCAGCAGCAGCAGCAGCAGTTGCTGCAGAACCAGAGGAAGCTCTCACAGGCCGTGCGCCAGCAGCAGGAGCAGCAGGTACGGGGGGTCCCCCTAGCGCTCTGTGTGAGGACTGCAGGGCTGCGCCTGCGAGAGCAAAACGCCAGCCACAGGCAGTCTCTCCGGGGAGGCTCGGGGCGTTGGCTCACCAAGTGTCCGTCTTCCCTCCGGGTCCCCCTGGCTCTGGACTCCTGGCCTCCAGCTGGCTCGGATGGTGAGCGCCCTGCAGCAGCAGCAGCAGCAAAGGCAGCCTGGCTTGAAGCACTCGCCCTCCCATCCCGTCGGGCCCAAGCCCCATCTGGACAACATGGTACCCAGCGCTCTGAATGTGGGGCTCCCAGACCTTCAAACCAAAGCGCCAATACCTGGATATGGCTCTGGTAAGTGGCCAGTAGTGAAGATCACCTTTAAAAAAAATGCGCCGGTCGTGTGCTGAGCCTCCGGTAGAGATGGGTCCTACGTGACCCCCTGTTTGCACAGCAACCACACGAGAGGGAGAAGTATTCTCATCCCTGTCTTACAGCTGATATCCTAGCGTCTTGGCAGTTTTCCAAAGCCGACCACACAATTAGGAAATCGCAGAGCTATGCCTCTGACTTCTCTGGGTCCAGGGGAGACTTTTACTATTTGGCAATGGCAACCTGCTCTTCTGCCACCGGGAATTTTTAAAAACCAGTTAAAACAGGGCGCCTGGGCGGCTCAGTCGGTTAAGCGTCTGCCTTCGGCTCAGGTGATCCCAGAGTCCTGGGATCGAGCCCCGCATCGGGCTCCCTGCTTAGTGGGGAGCCTGCTTCTCCTTCTCCCTCTGCCACTCCCCCTGCTTGTGCTCTCTGGCTCGCTCTCTCTGTCAAATAAATAAATAAAATCTTTTAAAAAAAAGAAAAAGCCAGTTAAAACATTTGTACATGCTGTGAGTGCCACACGCGTCTGAGGTTATAATCTGTTAAAATAATGTACAAGCTGAGGTGTTTAGCTCTACTGATAGAATTTCCTTCTTGTGGAAAAATGGAGAACTAAAATGAAGCTGATGAGGCAAACTGATAAAATTCTTCTGATATTAATATTTCATTTGATTTAAATAGAATTAGCACAAGTAAGGTTATACCTTTGACATTCATCAAGAATTTGTTGGCAGGCAAATGGTAGCTCTTTCAGAACGGGGGAACATGTTGTAAGCAGAATCCAATCAGTGAGGCAACAGTGACTTAAAAATAAAATGTAAAAATTAAAAAGGTACCACACACCACAGTGGGTTTCTTTGCAGAGTGACAAAATTCAGGTTTTATTTTGGTAAAGAAGATACTGTTCTGTGCAAACTCAAAAATAAGAGTTGGGGAGACCTGAAACCCATGCTCCTATGAAACAAAGTGACCCTGGACACATAGCCCTGTTCTCTGCTCTAGTTCTGTGGGGTGCCACTTCCTGCTGGGGTGTCCACATGCAGAGAGGAACAGAGACTTCCAAGGATGCCTTGATTCTGATCCTGAATAGTTTTCCTGAGAACTGACTTAAATTCAAAATAACCTTTCTTCCACTTGACATAAAAGAAGAGCAAACTCTCCACCAGCTCCTGTCTTACTAGGGCATACCCATCTTGGGTGTAGAAATCCCGGGTGCTGAGCAAGGGGGAAGCCTCCCATAATGACTAATGAAGGTGTCATTAACTCTGTATTTCCAGGCTTCACCTCCTTAATCATGTTTTCTGTTAAGGATGAAACTTGTCATAAGAACTTGGGTATTTTGGTATGTGTCCAGTTATTGTGAATTTAGATGCCGTCTATGAGAATAAAGCAGGGCAGCTTTGCTTCTTCCATCCCCTTTTGTTAGAGAGTTCATGGTTCTCAAAGTAGAGTCTAGTCATACAAAGCAAAGTGAACATCTGGAAGCCCCGGGCGGCTTTTCCACATGTTTAAATGCACAGTTCTTTTTAGCTCTTTTCTGTACTCATCCCCTAGGGGCATGTCTTAGGTGGAAAGAAAAGTATCTTCAAACAACTTGAGCAACATAGGTTAGTGACACAGACACTGTTAAATACACATTTTTTTCCACAATTTATCAGATAAAACTTGTGAATAGACCTTTTATGTGCTTTTCTTTAGGCTGGGTGTGCATTAGTCAATTGGTTGTTAAAAACCTAACATCATGATGTAATTGTTCCAGAGACAGTTCTTACAACGTCTGTGATATTTTCTGCCTTTTCTTAAAAAGTAGAATTACAGGGGTGTGGCGGGGGGGGGAGTGAAATTATATGCTAGCTGTGAATCTGTTTTTAGCAGCATACCTTCTCATTTATCAAATATATAGAAAAATTTGATCATAGTGTCTTATTAGATTAGTGGTGTTATTTGTGATTATTGTACTGGAGGTATAACTTTCCATGATGGCTGAAGGATCAGAGTTCTGTATACATACATACATTTACTGAGGAAATGGCATGGTTTTTTTTTTTATCATACTCTTGTTTCAAAGTAACTTACACATTTAACTATGCACTACAGTCCAAATTAAGTAAGGAGAAAAACATATTGACTCGCTAATTTATTTCCATTTGGTAACTTATGAATAAATTTTATTAGGTCTTTATCATATTAATTGTGATCTGACCACTTACAGATCGATCTGCCTTATAAGATGCACTTTGCAATTTATTTCACAGTTAAAAATGTCCTTAATTCCTTAATATTATGACATTTATTTGAGTTGAAAAATACATTTTGGGATTGAAAGTAAATCCGATTTGGCTGCCTGTTTTGAATAAACTACAGCTATAAGATTTTGCTGAAAATATATTTAATGCATACAGAGAGGTTAAATTTATATAGCAAAGATGTAAAAAATGAATAGTATTTCAATTTTCCTACTGCTGAGTATTAAACTAAAAAAGACACCTGTAGGTGAAAGAGGAGCACGAATAATTAAAAGTCTCTTAGTAAGTCCCAGTAAAGCCTCTTTGGGTGTATTTTCTCAAAATTAAAAAGTTGAATGAGTTTAATGACTGCTTAACTGATCCTTGACTGATTGTTTTTATAAAACAGACGGTTTCTCATTCTCTGCTTTTAGCAGAATTGAAAATATACCTAACTGAATTGTCTGGGGATGATGACCTATGTAAACATGTTTTAGCATCTATGTTATTGAGCTGAGGGGAAGGGAATATAGCCTAAATGGGAATTCACAGAAATAGGAGATGTTATAACAAGACTCCTTCTTTTCCTGTCTAATTACTTATATAAGATTTCTTGGTGCTTTTTTTCTATTGTAATTTAAAAAATAGGAATAGTGTGAACTCCGTCTCATATCTCTCATTCATAGGTATCTGAACCATTCGAGAAGTAAAGTCCCTCGTCGTATTAGAAAATGTCCCAGGGCGCCTGGGTGGCTCGGTTGGGCATCTGACTCTTGATCTCGACTCAGGTCTTGATCTCAGGGTCGTGAGTTCAAGCCCCATGCTGAGTGTGGACCTACTTAAAAAAAGAAAAAGAAAATGTATTTCCAATAAAATTTCACTTTTCATGTTTAAAATTTATCAAAATTCGGTGGCGCCTGGCTGGCTCAGTTGGTAGAGCATGTGACTCTTGATCTCAGGGTTGTAAGTTTGAGCCGCATGTTGGGTAGAGATTACTTTAAAAAAAGAATATTTGTGTTAAATGGGCAACTGTGGGTGATCTGTTTCTTTTATAATATATTTTTATCATTATAAAAGCACTGATTTGTTTTTTAATCTATAGTAAAAGGAAAAGCAGGGAAGAAAGAACTAATATAGACAAAGAGCGTGAAAGCGGAAATCCCAGTTTCCTCAAGGAGGTGACACTGAGCCAAGCAGTAATGATGAATAAATAGACGGTGAAACAGCGTGCGTGGCAAAGAAAGTAATTCTGGCCAGGATAGATAAGGGAGGCCAAGGGTTGGATTTGTAGGAATGATAAGATCGGTAAAAGGGATGTACTGGGGAAATGAGTTCCTAGGAGAGCAAGGGGCATGTCTTATTTCTGTTTGTCCCTCAGCTCCTCACAGAGCCTGGCACTAATGCGGCTTTCCGTGAGTGTGCACTGAACTGAACGGAAGGATTGTTTGATTGGAGCTCAAGTTCTGTTTGGTGAGCTGGAGAATTACAGGGAGGCTGCCTGGTGGACCGAGGAAGTGTGGTTTTGATGAAGTAGCAAGGACAAAAAGGTCCGTACTTTGCTGGGCTTCGAGGTGTGGCAGCTCACAAATAGTGCAGAGGTTGTGAGTCGTGCCGGTTACCGCGGGGCATCGAAGAAAGACACAGAACCACGTACAGCCTTGCACTGATTCTTCCTCTCCTGGTTTGGGTTCGGAGGTTAAACCTTTCAAGGCAGTTTTATCTCCTGTTCTCCTCACATCCCTCTGGGTGTTTCCTTACCAAACTTTGTTACTTAGTTATGATGCTGCCATGCTTTGGTGGTGTTTGATTTCCCAAGTTTCTAACGAGAAAGATGCCCACTTAAGGTTCAGATGGAACTGCTCAAACTGTCCCCTCATCCTAAGATATGTAGAACTCTTACTAATTTTCCACGCTTCACGTGTCACAAAAGGACTCTAAGCAGCTGAAATTAAATAATTGTAATTCACTGTGGGTTCTAAAGACATTTCAGAGCAACTGTAAAGAATCTTTAAAGTAATGTGGGGGCGCCTGGGTGGCTCAGTTGGTTAAGCGTCTGCCTTCAGCTCAGGTCATGATCCCAGAGTCCTGGGATCGAGTCCTGCATTGGGCTCCCTGCTAAGCGGGGAGCCTGCTGCTCCCTCTCCCTCTGCCATTCCCCCTGCTTGTGCTATCTCTCTCTCTGTCAAATAAATGAATGGAATCTTTAAAAAAAAGAAATGTGTAAGGAATCATTCTTTATCTTCTTACTAATCCTCACATTCTTTCTAATCTTCACCAGAATCCTAGGTTATTCTCAAAAGCTCTTCCTCCATGATTGGAACCAAGCTTTCGAATAGCCTAGAATCCAGGCACCTTGGGTTGGTTTTCTCTGTCAAAGGCAGAGGTGCTACTTGCCCAAGGAGTAACCCACTTAGGCCATTAAAGCTTCTGTCAGAGGGGGCGCCTGGGTGGCTCAGTCAGTTAAGCGTCTGCCTTCAGCTCATGTCATGATCCCAGGGTCCTGGGATAGAGCCCCGCATCGGGCTCCCTGCTCAGCAGGGAGCCTGCTTCTCCCTCTCCCTCTGCCTGCTGCTCTGCCTACTTGTGATCTCTCTCTCTCTCTCTCTGTCAAATAAATAAATAAAATTTAAAAATAATAATAATAAATAAAGCTTCTTTCAGAGAAAAGCCTTATTCCTTTCAACCCTGCTATCCTCCAGTCTCATTTCAACTACATAAGAGAAAAGAAAATACCTTAAACTCTTCTTTTTTAAAAAATCATTTAATATGAAATATTTCCAGCTTATTCCAGGAATTTCTACTCCCCACCCCCGCCCTCCAAGTAATCACATGGACTAGTAAAGTTGCTTACAGTGTGAAGGAGCAGTGTTCTTTATATTAATAGCAACATTTTAAATATAGGTCAAGGTGTTAGGAATGGATTTATTATGCATTTATAAAACTGTCTCTGACAACTCAGAAGCACAGGGAGAGAACGTGGCCTGGGCCCTCATGGGATTTGGATTAAGTGGAACCTCAGAGTCATTGAGGCACCACCAGATGGTCGGAGAGGCAAGTGGGTACAGCGAGGAGCTTGGCCTAGCTGGAGTGGCACATCTTCTCGAGTAATAGTAGACGGGCTTTTGACTCCTGCAGCTGCCTGAGCTTTTACATTGTGGGACCCCTGCTTCACCTCCCTGGGATGGCTGTTCTACACTCACTGCAGTCCATCCTCATTTTTACTCTGGCTATTCATTGTTCTTCCTCTCTGTTCATTTGTTTATTTTCGTGCTTCATTTTACTTTTTATGTTAAGTACATTCTGACCCACAGTGGATGGTGGGACCTGTGAGACCCCCATCAGCAAGCCTCTCATACTGATTCTCACCTGTCCAGCCCTGTGCAATGCGAAGACATTACCCACCTACACTCGTGCTAAAAGCCTGACACCTGAGGCTTACCTGGGGCTCATGGCAAAGTAAACTCTGAAGCTCTCTGTCATTGCCTATTCAGGCTTCGTCATCGCATAAAGATTTCTTTCAAATCTCTTACATTCTGCCTTGACCTGCATGTACCCCATTTTTGTACTGCCAGTTCTTTTTCTAAAATACAGACTTTTTTTTTAAGTTTATTTATTTTTAGTAATCTCTGCACCCAACGTGGGGCTCAAACTCATGACCTTGAGATTAAGAGTTGCTTGCTCTTCCAACTGAACCAGCCAGGCGCTCCCTAAAATACAGACTTAGATTTCTTTCTCTCACTTGTTAAAAAACTTCTTTATCTCCTGTCTTAGAGAAAAAAGGCCCAAAGTCTTTGGCCTGATACATAAAGAACCCTACAGGACATAACTCCTCATTTCTCCCCCATCTCCTGTCACTCTGCCTCACTTCATCCATGGTTAACCAAGCACTGGAGTCACACTGAACTCCTCATTCCCTAAATGTACCAGATGGTCATCAATCAGAGCTTTGTACTTGGTATCCTTGACTTACTTGCATACCTGCCATCGGCCCTAAATCAAATGTCCCTTCTTCTGCAAAGCCTTTCTGGCCCCAGACACCCTCACCACACCTTGTGGCTGTTGTTCTACCATTATCAGTTTGATGTGTGGAGATTGGCTCTCTGAGTTGGCGAATTCCTGGCCCCAGCATTCTGGCTAGCACAAGCGTTAGCTAAATGAGTAAGTGAAGGCACAGGTGCGCTGTGCACTGTAATGCTCTCAATTACGGCAGTCCTGCACATTTTCACACCTGCACCAAGAGTCATTACTTTCTTTAGCAAGCAAGAGCCAGGATGAACATTTTGAATCAAAATCTCTGCTTCTGAGTAAAGAAATTTCTTGTGAATTAGTCTTTAAATGACAAATGAAGCTATCATTTGGTTGGTTCTACCTCAGATCTCTTGAAATATATAGGAAGATGTAAAATGTGCTTCTCTGTTTTAGGCTTCAGCTCTGGTGGCATGGACTATGGCATGGTTGGTGGGAAGGAGGCTGGAACAGAGTCTCGCTTTAAACAGTGGACCTCCATGATGGAGGGACTGCCCTCTGTAGCCACACAGGAAGCCAATATGCACAAAAATGGTAAGAGCAAGCAAAGCCTTACGAGTTGGAGGTGTATGGCCCTCACGGACCTTGATGATGTATCCTGTAAAATTATTTTAAAGCACAAATCTTTAGCTTTTTCTTAATCTCTTCATTTTTCCTCCAAATCCAGTGATTGCCTAAGAGAGGAAGATTGGGGTTATGTATATTTCAAATTATAAGAAACTTAAAATGCTAGTTGTAATTAAGGGGAGCAAAATCGCCCACCTGTAATGGGATTGAGAGCAGTAGCAGTGAACTTGAGTACCCATTAGGATGAAACCCTAATATATTGGCTGAGAGAACAAAATGCATTTTTTTTGAGGTTTAAGAGATCACAACAAATATATACCATGTTGATTATTCAAACACTTTAGTCTCCAAAAGATAGATGACTAATAGTACATGAGATTTGAACTTTCCACAAAGCTTTCTTGTTTTGTTTTGTTTTTTTAGCTTTCTTGTTCTTAATGCATTATAGTGTCTGCAGGACAACAGCTGAGGGGCATCACAGGCTTTGGTTGTGAATGGTGGGCTCTTCATTTCCATTGTTCTCTGTAAATGCCTCTCTATGTCCCTGTAAAACAGATAAAAGGTTTTAGAACCTTCCTTCAACCTTTGTTTCAATGTTTATATCATTGGACAGTAATTCACCTGGACTCAACTGTAGCCTTGAGATCCAAGTATATACACCTGGGTGTTGGGCTCCTCCTGCCAGTTTCCTGGCAGACCTCAGCCCCATGGGTCTGAAAACTTTCAGGGTCCCTTTATAAACCACTCTTGAATGTGTCTATCCGAGAGACAGTAAAATGGCCACATGGAGCTCTTCCCTGCTCTCCCTAAGATTTCATGCCACAAAATCAAGAATGATTTATTGAAACTATAAAATCTATCTCTAGACTGAATAATTCAAGCCCAGCATTTGTAGCTTTGGGCACTTACCCTGCTTCTTTAGGCTGGTAATTCATCAGGTCTCCTTGTCCCTAAAGACATGATAGGTGCACGATAATAAATACAGAGTGTCATGCGAGAGGATATCTGGAAGTTTAAATATCTACTTGCCTTTTCAGAGCTTATAGATACTGTGTTCCCCATTTCCTTAGCAATCCCCACAGTAATTGAGCGCTTCATTTCCTGTGACTTCCCTGTAATGTGCCCTTGAGTCAGATTTCTGTCAGTAGTTCCAGAAATGCAAATGACTTCTTAGCTGAGCGTGGAGGTGGATTTGATAATACTCCTGCTGGGCCAACCCAAGCAGATTACTTTAATCAATATTTACACAAATATTTTAATACATCATCCTGGAAATAATTTTATCTGTTTAGAAACAGCATCCTAAGGGTAGATCAGGTGACACAATGCAGCATGTAAAATTCATTTGAGAAATAAATAGGGTGGTATTTCCCAGAGGCCCCCAATTTTTATTGAAAGTGAAGATCATTTTTAGTTAGGTTAAGAGAACTTTTAAGTTTTTAATGTTCTTCCTGCCTTGTAGCATCGCAAATGCATAAAAGGGGCACAGACGGAACTGCCGAAATGCTGTCAGGAAGACAGTTACAAAGGATTGGTTGTTCTTCCTGTGTGGGGCCACGGGTCGCAGGACTGCCCAGTTCCCTGTCGATCTTGTGCGGGCAGAGACCGTAGGCGGGAATTCCATCTCATGGCTTTGGAATTCAGAGCGATGGCAGATGCGTTTCTCTCCAGTGGGCTCCCTCTATTTACATTGCTTCTTCCAGCTAACCTGGGTCTGATCAGCACTGAAGAACTTGGGGGGGGGGGGCACGTCAGTACAAGAGTGTCATGAGAACACTTCCTGTGCACTGCAGATTGTGTAGTGTTTTTCCTATTTCTCATTCTTGAGTCATTGGTATGGAAACTGGGGATAATAGTATGATTCGTTGTTGATGAAAGTTTCATTAATTTCTTAAGACCATGGAATTCTAAGACTGAAAAGAAGATTCAAGGATGAGAACAGTGCTGTGTGCCTCAGTGAGAACCCAAGAGGTTCAGGACGGTGAAGTGGATCGTTCCTACTCATCCTGTTTGTGAATTAGATACTGGCTGTCCAGGGCGACCTCTCGTTCCAGCACCTTTTTTTTAACTGCATAAACGTCAGAATACTGTTTTCTGCCGAGTAAGAGCTTTGACGAGTTCTGTTCATAGGAATCCTTTCTGGGTGTGAATTAATTTCCACTCTCTCTCCTCAGGCGCTATCGTGGCCCCTGGTAAGACTCGAGGAGGGTCACCGTACAACCAGTTTGATATCATCCCGAGTGACACACTGGGTGGCCATACGGGTCCTGCTGGTGATAGCTGGTTACCTGCCAAATCTCCACCAACAAATAAAATCGGAAGTAAATCCAGCAATGCCAGTTGGCCTCCAGGTATTGTCCAGGCAATTTTTTTTTTTTCTGGTGTATCATTTGTTTTTAATTCTTATTTTTGGGTTCTGAACAGATTGCTTTTACCAGTTACTAATGCATTTTGTTTTCTCATTTCGTAACTGTTGTCTGATAAAAGCAAGGCATGTGCTATGCTCTGGGAAAGATAGGAAATTCGCATTATTAATGGGGTCTCTGCTCCATTGAGTTCAGTCAGGAAGATAAGGTGTGGACACAGATCACCTGCAAGGCAGGTAACTGTGATAAATACTGCAGAGCATAGACGAGCTGCAGGAAGTCAGAGGAATGGAATTTGGAGATCAAGGAAGGTGATGTGGGAGCCGGACTTAGCACTCGTCCGTGCACAGGATGCCTTGTAACATGGGATCTTCTGAAATGGCCATTTAATTGGCCTGTTTATTCATGAAGCAAGTATTTATTGTCAGGTTCCAGGTATGCAGTGGTGGTGTAATGAGACTGTTCACTTTTTTCTCTTTTTATTTTGATGTAAGTAATCTATTTTCATTGTAGAAAAATTTTAGGTTTAGTTAAGCAAAAATTAAAAATCGGTATATGTCTTTCTAAAACCTCTTCCTATACAGGTATATTTGCAATATGAATATGTTTAATTTCCTTCCATTAAAGCAGGTTCATATAATGCATATTGTTTGTGTATAATATTGATTGCTCTCCATCATGATTAGGAAAACAAAAGCTTGTTAATCCTATCACATGGCTTTAAATACAATTTAAATTAACCAATAAAAAAAAGTTGTAAACACACGTATTCTAGGCTTTCTCATTGATAAGCCAGCTTATTCCTGCTCTTTGTCCCTGGGTGTTCCACATAATAGTGGTCACTTGTATTGTGTTTCCTTTCATGCATCTGAGCCAATTTCCAGTGAAATAAATGGGAGAAGTCACTCATCTCCAACCCTGGTTTTCTCCCAGTTCTTGTTGTGGATGCCTGGACAGTTCTCATGGGCACCAGGTTACCTACCCCTGCCCTCGCTGCCCTCAGGCCCGATCTTCCCTGGGAGCAGGAAGAGCCGCGACCAGGACCAGACGCCAGACAGCTCTGGCTCAGAGCCACAGAGAAACCAAGTCAACGTGCTTGGTAACACAGAGGTGCTGGCGTAGTGCCTGCTCGGGCTGAGTTGTGGTGTTCAATTTTATGATAAAAGTCTGAGATGAAATAGATTCAGTGTTCTACTTTTCACAGATCTATGCCTTGTATCAAAAACTAACTTGAGGGGCGCCTGGCTGGCTCAGTCAGAAGAACGTTGCAACTCTTGATTTCGGGGTTGTGAGTTTGAGCCCCACATTGGGTGTAGAGATTACTTAAAAATAAAACTTAAAAAAAAAAAAAAAACTAACTTGATTTTTATCATTCTTTGAACAACCTCCTACCTCTAATGTTTGTTCTCCTTGTTTCAGAATTCCAACCAGGAGTGCCATGGAAAGGTATCCAAAACATTGACCCTGAGTCTGACCCCTATGTCACCCCAGGAAGTGTGCTGGGGGGTACAGCCACATCTCCCATTGTAGATACTGACCACCAACTTCTGCGGGATAACACCACAGGTAAATGAGTGAGGCATCCTTTGTGTTTATTCAATACCCAGCATTTTTGTATCTGTCAGTTTGTGGCTTCATTTGTACCTGCTAATAATCTAATAATTTAACCAGAAAACATACAAGTATGTAGCTTTTCAGGGGTTTTTTGGATACTTTTTTAGTATATTTTACTCTTCCATCAAAGGCTAAATACAGTACTTAAGGTTTCACTGGTTATACTGATGTCTGTCTGCAGTATTTTCATCTTGTTCTTCCTCTGTCTCCCAAAGGGTCTAATTCTTCCCTCAACACCTCGCTGCCTTCACCTGGTGCCTGGCCCTACAGTGCCTCTGACAACTCCTTTACCAACGTTCATAGCACTTCAGGTACCGTCTGACCTATTTGTTTCCCTTTGGCTAGCACTTTTCCATCAGGTTCCCTTTTATAAAGGAAATGGGCGTTTATTTCTTAAGGAGGACTTCAACAGAAGTTGAATGGCTAGGTCAGCCTAAATGGAGGCACACCTCTTCCGCTGGCCATGTTCTCAAGGAGCTTCCAGTGGCACAGACAGGGTGAGACATACAGCTTTAGGACAGGGCAGATGGTGACATAATTGCAGGGAGCCTTGTGGGTATTGAGAGGGCAGAGGTTAAATCTTTGTGCCACAAGTGCTTTTCTTGAACCAGTCTGCCGAAGGAATCATGGGCCATGGGAGAACCAGGGAAGTCCAGGTTGTTATTCCTAAGGTAGCCAATTATGGCTTCCTTTTCTACAAACAAATCCTTCCACTTATAGACAAAGGCTGCAGGCAGATGGCCAAGGGGAAAAAAAGAGGCCCTTAATTAATTCTACCAATAACATTTGTTGAATTCCTTATGCGTATGTGTGGTGGTTTTTTTTTTTTTTTTTTTAGACAATAGGGAATAAAGCTTAATGGATATAATAGAGCCTTTGAAGTCACTCACTCCACACACTGCCTCATAGATTGGTAGAGAGATTATTTGTAATTGGCACCTTGGTCTTGCAAAAGTTAGACCTCAAGCCATTAAAGTCATTAAGGCTTCTGTTCTGTGTCCAAGCAAAAGCAAATGGAACAAATCCTCAGCTACTCTTTAAGACACTGTAGGTTAACTGCCTTACAAATTGTCTTCTTTTTCTTTTCACGTCTGTGTCATATAGACAGGGTCACAATAACCTGTCATTTATTGAATGCTCCTGGAGACCAGGCAGCATGCTAAGCCTTCAGCATGAATTCTTACCTTACTTTCACCAAAGTCTGGGAGCAGGTCCTGGCCTTCTCTCCATTTTGAAGATGAAGAAACTCAGACTCAGAGAGCTGATATAATTTGCCTCAGGTCTGAGCGAGTGTGTAAAGGCACCAACTCCATAATCCATGTTTCTAACCACCACCCTACATTATACTTTTGTGGGACTTCGTCCTTTACATGTAAAAACTTATTTTTCAACCCAGCTCTTTCATTCCAGTAACTGCCCACGTCTTCAGTTGAACTGTTTTATCTTTTTGTCTATAGTTGGACATTCACCTGATAGATTACCCAAGGATCACCTCAGAGGTGTCTAAACTGAATGTATACTTTTCTGCAGCCCCCCCCATTGTGTTTCCTAAGTCTTTCCATTCAGTAAATGTCTTAGCTATCTCCCAGGGGGTGCATTCTGCAGCCACATCTCCCATCCATTTCTTCTGCTCCATTCTACTTACTGTCACCCAGGATGAGAGCCAAGTTTAAACACTACATGCTCAATCTAGTAGCATCCTCATCGGCCCCCAGCCTACCTTTCTGGCCTTCTCTACCTCTGCCCCTGTGAAATATTGTTCAGCCAGAACTGGGGGAAAACATATTTGGTACAGATAGAGTTCAAATTGGACATTAGTCTATATTTTCCTCTGTCTCTGAGCCCATCCATTTATGTAAATCCTTCCAGACCTGTCTTTGCAAAGCCTTTAGTGATGGCCGAGCAGTGTCTTCTCTGTGTATTGAACATATGTGATGATGCCTGGGGTTACCAATTCTCTTATTCATCTGTTCTGTCTTCCCATGTGAACTTGAAGTTCTTGAGAATGTTTGTATTACCCACAGCATTGATTTAGTGCCTTAAAGCGTAGTAAGCCCTTAGTAAATATTTTTTGATTGTTCTTTAAAAATCTGTTTGAGGGGCGCCTGGGTGGCTCAGTCGGTTAAGCGTCTGCCTTCGGCTCAGGTCATGATCCCAGGGTCCTGGGATCGAGCCCCGCATCAGGCTCCCTGCTCCGCGGGAAGCCTGCTTCTCCCTCTCCCACTCCCCCTACTTGTGTTCCCTCTCTCGCTGTGTCTCTCTCTGTCAAATAAATAAATAAAATCTTTAAAAAAAATAAAATAAAAAAAATAAAAATCTGTTTGAATGTTGGGGTGCCTGGCTGGCTCACTCAGTAGAACATGAGACTTGATCTCAGGATTGTAAGTTCCAGCCCCATGTTGGGTGTAGAGATTACTTTAAAAACGCTTTTAAAAAAATGTTTGTCTGAATGTTGATAGCTAATAATCTGGATCAAGAAAAGTATAAATTTCTAGTGTACTTTCCATTCAGTCAATGAGTATTTATAGAATAGTTTTACTAGGGTTCACATTCTACTATGTCTGTAAGACTAATGATTTTAGGAATACTTCCCTTGAATTAATCTTCCCTTTCATGTTCTGTTTGGCTAAGAAAGTAGTAGAGAATTAGTTATCATATTAAATCTTTAGTTTATGTGTTGTCAATTCAGAGTAATAGTCATTGAAATTTTTACATTTAATAAGCTCAGAGGGCAATGTTACTTTGTACTGCTACTCTCAAAATGTGTACTTAACTGTTTTTAGAATATTGTGTGTATACACAAAATTTGTGTATGTTGACAAAAGTGCCCTATCTAACCTTATCCCTTCTTTAACATTCTCTTCTTTACAGCAAAGTTCCCTGATTACAAATCAACATGGTCCCCAGATCCCATAGGACACAACCCCACTCATCTCTCCAACAAGATGTGGAAAAACCATATTTCCTCGAGGAACACTACAGCGCTGCCCCGCCCACCTCCCGGTCTGACCAACCCCAAACCGTCCCCCTGGAGCAGCACAGCACCCCGATCAGTCAGGGGGTGGGGGGCCCAGGACTCACGGCTTGCCTCGGGTGAGCAGGGCCCGCCAAAGGAGCACCGTTGTTCTAGCTCACGTCAATACCAAAAGACACGAAATCTTCGCAGAGAGGCAGTGTGGTAGAGGAAAGAGTGGGAAGCTCTTGAGCGGAAAGCTGTGGTCCGTCCAGGGCAGAGAAAACCCAAGAACTCGCAAGGGACTGACGGAGTAAAAATGGTGACCAGCAGGGGGAGGACATTAGGAGGAGGATGTCTTAGCAGTGAGATGAGAGGGCACAGGGTTCAAGGTCTAGGAGAAGAGAGCTGGCCATTAAGTGACGGGATGAAGGGGGCCAGAGGGAGGCAGAAAAGAGAAGACAGCTGATAACGGGAGAGGAGAAACACGTGGGCTATGTGAAGCTGTTTCTCACTCGTGGCTTTCCGAATTTCTTTATTGCTCTTCCTGATTGTTTTTCTGGTTGCTGCAGCCTCTACCTGGAGTGATGGTGGTTCAGTTCGTCCCAGTTACTGGCTGGTTCTTCACAATCTCACTCCACAGGTAATCATGCTTCCTTGTGATTTTTGAGACAGGACTTCATTGTGTTAAGAGAGGGAAACTCAGGTGTGGAATGTTGGCAGATAAGATTAATTTCCTGCTCGCTACAGAGAGGCCCAGTGTGCAGGGGTGGGTCTCTCCACCCAAAGGCTCGAAGTTTACTCCTGAATGGGGAGTGTTGGCCCAACAAGGCTTAAGGCTCAGTATCAGCCATTTGTAATGCTTCAGAAATAATTAACCATCTATCTCGGCAGTAGGAGGAATCTGTCAGTTTCCTAGCTTAAATGCCACACGGGTGCTTTCAATTTTCCATCTGTTATTCTCTTCTTTGTAGATGGCATTACTAATTTGCTGTCTTCAGAACATGCCCTCTGGGCTGTTTTTACAGTGATGGGTTTCATTTGCCGCAAGCCACTCGTTTGCTGGATAACTGACATACTTGCAGCAGTACGATGTCGATGTCGAACACTCAAATGAGATTAAATGAACCCACTGAAACTGAGCCCATGACCTTTATTTGGACTAGACAGCACAGCCTTTACAACACCTTGTTAAAAGGAGTCAATTATGCTTCCCTCCGTTTGACACATAAAATGAATTGTCTAGCATTTAATTCATAAATGGATTCATGCACACTTTAGTAAGCCAGCATTTTCTAGAGTGTTCTCATGGGATATTAATAGGTCTCTGGCCTAATAGGTTTGGAATATATACTTGATTAAACGAAGAAACAAGGTTTCTTCACTATGAGACTTCTTAGACCCTTTAATATACTAACATGTATTATGATCCTCTGTGAGGAAATACAGCTTCTCCTAAATTTACTTGCCCAGTGAATCTGTTTGTGGGGAGTGTACCCAGGGCTTGCATTTCAGGGTACATGTGGAGAAAGGCGATTTCATAAATAGAGTTAACATGAGAAAGAGTCTGGGTTGGCTCTTAATCTCCATATCAACTCAGCCAAAAGCCCCAGGTGGTTTTTTTAGCTAATAATTGAAGTATGACGATTTCATATGGCTATACTCAAAACTATATATGCCTCATTAGAATATTTTTTTAAAGATTTTATTTATTTGAGAGCGAGCACAAATGTGGGGGGGGGGGAGTGCAGAGGGAGAGGGAGAAGCAGATGCCCCACTGAGAGCCTAACACAGAGCTTGATCCCAGGACCCCGAGATCATGACCTGAGCTGAAGGCAGACGCTTAACTGACTGAGCCATCCAGGCGCCCCAGAATATGACAACATTCTAAAAGTTGTCCCTCAGTGTGGTGGATATATGGTTAGGATGAGAGAGACAGTAATGGATACGCTGTTTTGAAAGGAGCCTGGGGAACCTAACCAGCTGTTCACTTCTGTTTTATCCTACAAAAAATAGTACAGGGGCGCCTGGGTGGCTCAGTCGTTTAGCATCTGCCTTCGGCTCAGGTCATGATCCCGGGGTCCTGGGATCGAGCCCCACATCGGGCTCCCTGCTCCGCGGGAAGCCTGCTTCTCCCTCTGCCACTCCCCCTGCTTGTGTTCCCTCTCTTGCTGTGTCTCTCTCTGTCAAATAAATAAATAAAATCTTAAAAAAAAAGAAAATAGTGAGTACATGTGTATATATGTGTAAAATGAATCAAGGGGTTGGCTGTGTTTGTATTAAAAAGAATTGTTTAATTTTAAAGCTCAAAACTACCTAATAGACTAATCTCGATCATAGCTTAGAAGAAGGTTTTAGGGCAAATCTTTGGAACTTGGATAAATTTGCTTTCATTGCCTAAAATTTGTTTAGAGGGCATCTGTGCTGGAAGGTCACTTGTGGTGTACTCTAGGCCACACTCATATAGTTGCTTGTCATTTTCTGTAAAGAAATCTGGTGAATCTGCTGGTTTCCATGGTGAAACCACACAGTGTTTGCAAGGCTGCCACCAGTAACAGTTTCTGAAGGCTGTTCCGAAAGTAATCTGTTTCCCTTCCAAAGAAATGAACCCAGTGTTGGACTCAGCAGCCTATCTCAACCTAGTTAAGATCGCGATACAAATAAATTGATCAGAGTGAATAAGTAGATTTGTCCACCCAAGTCCTGGGTGAGAGAAACTATCTCGAATCACTGGACACGAGCGCCTGGATAACATGAGGGCGAGGACAGCAGAGTTCACAGAGAAGTAGGCAGAGAGTCTCACCCTGGGGTGGCCAGCGTGGGAGTCAGAGGACACCAGCTGGGTCCGCGAGCTAGGTCAGCCAGCAAGATCGTGAACCATCAGGTGTGGCTAGCAGTGCTGTCTTGTGTGTATCTTCCTCTTCCGCCCCCTGTGAGCTCATTAACTGGGGGAGTAGAGAATACTGCATTAGTAATGATGCCAAGAACTTGGCATGTTCTCTTAAGTTCTTATTCACGTGCCGTCTTATTTGTGCTTTCTGAAGTCTCTGACAAATCAACACACGTTCACTTGTTTACCTCTTAAGGAAAAGAGACTGCAGGTTGAATTGTATGATTTGTTTTGAGCTGTGTTTTTACAGACTTTTTTATTTCCAGTATGGGCACATTAGATCCCCAGCCCAGTGCTTTGAATATCTTAAAATTTACCTTTAAGGCCTCTGTTCAGTGCACTCTTTCCTGCTTTGAGTTCCTCCTTCCTTTCTCCAAGACGAGTTTAGTGCTGATACCGTTATTTACAAATCAGAAGTCCTTTTCCTTCTCCGACATAGAAAGGCCACTTTCGTTTCCTTCACACCCCACCTCCAGGTTTTAATCTCATGAATGTCATTACCCCTCAGATTGATGGGTCAACGTTGAGAACCATCTGCATGCAGCATGGCCCACTGCTGACATTCCATCTGAACCTAACCCAGGGCACCGCCCTGATCCGATACAGCACCAAACAGGAGGCGGCCAAGGCCCAAACCGCACTGCACATGTGAGTACCCATCCTATGCTCACTGAGACAAACACGCATGAAGATGCACACGTGAGTAGTCTGCCACCTGCTTGATTAGACAGATGCACAAGAACATGCACAAAAACAGCATCATGGCAGTAAGCAATTGCTTGGTACTGAGGGGACTGATCTTTTCTACCTACCTAAGGGTGGATTGTCTATCGCATAGGCCACTCATCAGAATTCCAAAACCAAAGAATTTATGAAGTCGTGAAGCAGTGAGTAAATTTTAAATACCGTGAAACAAAGCCAGTACTTAGGAGAATGTGAAATGGCGTAAGCACTGTCACTTTTTGTAATAGAATCTAGCAGCTTACCTTGGCTTCTTTGTTGGTGAAGATGAAATACGGTGGTCTGGGTGCGTAGCACTGATTTTGTCTAAAGTAGGTGGGACTGGATCACACTTTGACCATCCCCCCTCCTAGCTGCTGTCAGACTGGGAGCCAGCAGATGCCACGGCAGAAGCCACAGACAGCGAGCGAGCAGTGGTGAGGCTCAGGCAGTGAGCCCGGTCCTGACACAGAGCAGCGGCACCTCCAGATGTCTAAAGCTGGGTCACCTTGATGCTTGTGGTGTGACCTTTCACCTCCCATGGGGGCAAAGAGAGGTGACATTTTTCTCCACATATGAATTCCATATACCAAAAGATTACTGATACATGGTACCCTCTAGGAGTCTTTGGATGTCTTGAGATTTAGCGATACCTTATTGCTTTAAAGCAGTGCCTCTCGATCACCTGGTCTGGTTAAAATGCAGGTTTTGATCCCGTAGGCCTGGGGTGGGGCCCATGATTCTGCCTTCAAAAAAGCTTCCAGGGGATGTGGAAGCTGCTGGTCAAAGGAGCACACTTTGACTCTCGAGGACTCAGAACCCTCAGTCCCTGTGGATGCTGTAGGATTCCCTCAAATCCATAGCTCTTTCCCTCCCCTTTTTCCTAGGTGTGTGTTGGGAAACACTACCATCCTGGCTGAGTTTGCCACCGACGATGAAGTTAGCCGCTTTCTGGCACAGGCTCAGCCGCCTACACCTGCAGCAACCCCCAGTGCACCCGCCGCAGGTTGGCAGTCGCTGGAGACCGGCCAGACCCCGTCGGACCCCGTCGGACCTGCTCTGAATCTTTTCGGTGGGTCCACAGGGCTCGGGCAGTGGAGCAGCTCGGGCGGCGGCAGCGGGGCCGATCTTGCTGGCGCTTCACTGTGGGGGCCCCCAAACTATTCTTCTAGCTTGTGGGGAGTCCCAGCTGTGGAAGACCCCCATAGGATGGGCAGCCCTGCTCCCTTACTACCTGGTGACCTTCTGGGAGGAGGGTCGGATTCAATCTGAACTTAGAACTTTCAACTCTGACCTCGTGACCTTTTTTGGAACAGCAGCAGCACTAACTTGACCTTTTCGTTTTTTTTTTCAACTTGCAATAAATACATTTTTAAAAGGAAAAAAGAAAACGGAGAGAGGAAAAAAAAAGGTGGGTCATTGACAGACTGTCTGAGCACATAGTTGCCTCCCTTATAACTTCAGTTTTTTCGTTTGGAATATGAATCCAAAAAGAGAACATATCACTCTTGAAATACTTGAATCATGAACGCCAACCTAGAAAGACAATGTGAAGCAAGTACACATACCATTTAAATTTAAACACAAAAAAATTAAAAAAATTAGTTTCTAGTTTTTCACTTTTTTCATGTTATATGGAAGTTGTTGCTAAGAAACATATATACTGAAAAAAAAATAGCTTTTTAACTTTGTTTGCACTGGGTGTGTTTCCGTCCTTAGGTCTACCACGTTTGGGAGGGAGGGGAATTCAAAAGAATTGTTGGGGTGGCGGGGGGAAGACTTGACGGAGCCTCACTTTAAAAACAAAAACACAAAACCTAAAAAAAAAAAAAAAGAAAGAAAAAATTTGTGATTGGCTGGTTGATAAATACCAGTGTGTTCTGGCACATGTAACTGCCCAGGCATGCTCGTTCTGGTATGTGTGTGCACGTGTGTTCATGCGCATCCGCGTGCATCCTTCTCTCTGTCTCTGTGTGTGTGCGCGCCCGTGTCCTCCTCCTCCTCCCCCACTCGATCTCAGAAAGCTGCATTGCTGACAGTCTGCAGGCTGGCTGGCCGGCCATCTGCTTTTTATTTTATTTTATTTTATTATTTCTTTTTTTTTTAACTATCAGAACACACAGGCACCGGGAGCCACTGCTTACTAAAGCAACTCCGTTGGGCTGCATTAAGATGAACAGAGTGCTTTTTAATGATTTAAGCAGGGAGCTCCTTTCCATTTGCAGATTAGCCTGAGTGAGTTTTCTCTTGCTTTTCTTTTGACCTAGCAGTAGAGTGGGAGCACTGCCAAGTCCAAAAGAGTAGGAGAGCAGGAGGTACCTCTTGGAGCAACTGTGTGTTTATTTATTTCTGTTTTTTAAAGTACGTGGCCACCAGGCACATCTGAATATCTGTTAGGTTTTTCGTCCGTTAGTCTGAATGGGAACAGATGATATAAGAGAGTTTTTTACTTAATGCCGTGTCTCAAAAGCAGAAAAACCATGTTCCCCCTTTCTTGTGTCATCAGGTATGAGGAGTCATCAGAAAGTCAGGTAATGCCGCATTAAAGGTTTCCATTGGTTCTCTTTTTCGTTTTACGAAAACGGAAACAAACAGGTTGTGAGCAGCCTCCTGAAAGCACCTGCAGCTTCTCCCTCTCTGCTCCTCTCTCGCTGAGCGTTACCTGTGCCAGGCCGTGGCGTGTTACAGCACCAGGCCATCACTGACAGAAACGTTTACTTAACGAATGTTCTTAAACCAGTGTGTACTTCAAGCGTTTCCTTTTGTTTCTCTGTGTTGTGTATTTCCTGTGTATGTGGTTTTGCTTAGGCAGGTATAACTTAGCAGAGACTTTTAAGTATTGCACCTTTTTTTGGTTTTGACCTCTTTATTTTTTTTTTTCCTTGTAATGTTGCTTTTTTTATTTCGGTATTTAAAGACTTTTTTTTTTTTTTTTTAAAGCATCAATGTAGTAGTACTCTGGGCCGACTAGGGGGCAACTTTAATCCACAGTTATCACCAACATGTATGTACTTATGTTGGAATCAACATGTATCAAACTGCTTTTTGTGAAGAGTTCTGGCAGACCCGAAGGGGTACCCCTTTATACAAAGCAGATGGCTGGCGGGGCGGGTGGGGAGGGGGGAGGGGAACGTATGCCGGTAACGTGCTAGCACTTGTGTGGACATCCCAGTCTGCATTATACTGTTTAACATAAAGTGCCGACATTCTGTACCAGCAAATACCTGCCCATTCCAACCCTTGGTGGGAGCAGACCTCTACTGTCCTCCGTAACTTGCTGCTAGTGAGGACAAGGGAGTTTTTCTTTCTTTAGCATCTTCAGTGAAGGATACAACAATGCCTAATGTATTTGACTTTTAGCTTGTGTCTGTGTGTAGGTGGGTGGGTGGGTGTGTATAGGAAAAGGCAAAACTGAATTATTTGCATTTAAATGGTTTTATGAGACAAAGAATGGGAATTCTGTAGTCCTCTGGCTTACCCTGTTGATTATAAACCTAGCCTCAAAAGAGATTGACATGCGTAATTCGAGTGAGCGTTCGCTCATATAAGTCTTTATGCACCCTTTGTGGGTAGGTGGTCAAACTTGAGTCTCCAGCGTTGGTTCAGTCCCATTGGATGCCTTGTAGAAAACTAACTGTGCCCTCTTCCTGCTCTCCGGTTTTCATCACCACCACCATGCCCCTTCCACCTCTGCCCTTGTACAAAACATCTCCTTCCAGCCCCTCCACCTGCTCTCCGTGTGTGGAGCAAAACCCTGTGGTGTGTGGTGATGTCCAGGTGGAGAGCAGCTGTGTTCAGCCATCTACAGAAGGCGAAATCTTAGTGGCCCTGGGCCAGGAGCATGTCCCGAGGCTCCCACGAGCCCGTGGCGACCCTGTCCACTGCCGTGTCCTGCCCCCCCCCCTTCCTCTCCTCCTGCCTGCTGGTTCCTTGGCCTGCACTATGGGTTAGTTGAGTTCCTTACGATACTACGGTGAAAGCCGGGTGCTAGAGCCCCTCTTGTTTACAAGACATAATGAGGGATTTGAAATATGTAAAAATAAACATGAGAAGCTCAAATGTTCTTCCATCTTAAGCTTAAAGGGAAAAAATTAAAAACTTAAAAAAAGACCAAAAAGTGCGTATATATATACATATAAATATATATTTTAGATGAAGACTAACTCTGGGAGCATTTAACAGTGTTTTTTGTTTTTGTTTTTAACATTTATTTTCCTGCTTTAAAATTTGCAAGCATTCTCAGGAATTCTAGGGTAGGAAGCCAGTTTTTTGAAGATGGTTTATTTAACCGTATCTTATCCTAGATAGACGGCTGTTTCTTTCCTGTTAATAAACTTTTACAAGTTCCTGAAACTTCAAAAAGTTTAAACAATTTTTACTTAAAAAAAATGTAAAAAGAAAAGTCTCCAAACATTATTGTCATACTGGGGATCACACATTTTAAAACACATAGAAAGAAATATTTTTTAAAAATTATCAATTTAGCAGCAACAGGTCAATTCGTTATCTTAAAAAATAGGGGAGAAGGATTAGCTTTCTAAGAGCTTTATCACGGATTTATTTGAAATTGTGTGTCATTTAGTGGGAGTGTTTGGCTTGTATAAATGGGAATGCCATCACTTTGTTCCTTTCCATTTAAGAGGGAACTGACATCTCCCCTAATGATTGTTATTTTTTTTTTTAAGGGAACCCTTCTCCCTGTCCCTCAAACCCCAGCAACAAAAGAAAGAAAGATAGAAAGAACAACTTAGGAAAAAAGTAAACTCTAATCTGTAAAATAGTACGGTTGGATTGCTGAGAATCTATGTAAAGAGCTAGGAAATAGAGGTTAATAATTTTTGGAACAAATTTTAAATATAGGCATTACTAGAGGAAAATATCTATGGACTGTTCTATTAATGAAGAATGTTTGTCTTACCTCCCCGCTTGTTATGGGAGGAGGAGAAAATAAGAAGAATCTAATAAGGAACAAGTGATTTTACTTTTTTAGCTCCCAGCTACTGTTGTGCTCATTTTAATTGCTGTTTTGAAGATCTGCTGCTTAATTATCCCCATCCCTCAGCTGGAGATATGGAGTATTTCCTTTCAGTTTTTCGTGATGTTGAATTCTCCTTTTGTATTCCCTCCTGGGGCCAGGGGTCAGAATTCCCAAACATGACCACAGCTTCTTTTAAACATCTAAGCTTCCCAGTGGGAAAGAAACTCCAGCTCGACAGGTAATGGGTGGGTGGGGCTGCTGCCTGCAATTTCTCTAAAACCGCTTTAGTGCCTTCGTACATACACCCAGACATCCGAAGCAGGAGGAGCTCGTGTGTATGTGCATGTGGTCCAGCCACTCCACAGATACAAGTACGCTTGCCCATTAAGGAAATTGGAGTGGTTCTGGACAGGCCCCAAAGGCAGTGGGCTAAATTTAAAATAAATAAACAGAAATCAAGGAAGTTAAATATGCTTTCATGTCTTGATAATGTGGAATGCCAAGATCCTTCCTTGTGTTATTGCCCTCGTTACTGTGCACTGACTTCTCCAGGTGTGTCGCTTTGACAACTACATACAGTGATTTGGAAAGTCTGTTTGTGTTGGGCCAGTAGAAAGGGGTTTCTATTTTTCTGCTCTTGTCCTTCTTTGTCTCCTCTCCTTCCCCCCCAAACTCCCCCCCCCCTCCATTTTTTTCGTCAACTTGCTGGAAGCTTTGCTTTATTGGTTGGCAGTGACCTAAGAACAGGATATAGTGAGGATATAATGGAAGAGAAAAACTCTTTTCTTTCTGTGGTATTCTTTTGCAAGAGCCATGTCTGCTGAGAGGTTAGGTGGCTTCCATAACACTTAGAAAATTTGGTGGGAGCGGCTTCTCTTCCACCACATTCTGGCATGTGTACAGAGGTTTGCTGGTCACCTCTCATTATGTAGATTTATCTTGTAAACATTTCGATCATGTAAATTTGAGCTTTCCAATTTTTACTAGTTTCCTTTATTTTTTTTTAAACACTTGATTACTAGTGGCTGGAGGTGCCCATCTTTCAAACATCACAAACTTGGTTTCGGTCTACCACATGAGTAACCAAAAGGAAAAAGCACTCATGGGGAAGAGACGTCTTCCATCAGACTGGAGACCTCTACTGGCAGTTGAAATCCAGTGCCATGACCTAATTTTAGGTGTTTAAAAAAAAAAAACCCACAAAAAAACAAAGTTCAGATCTCCGAGACACTGTGAAGAAATGGATGGCCCATAGGGCATCTCTGATCCCTCCATACCTAGCCTTGATCTTCTCCATTTGCGACATGCACAGAAGTTAGCAGTGCTGCATGTTAAGGTTCCAAACCAAATTCTTTCACCAGTGTCCCCCAGTAAATCAACATTATCCATTGATTGCCATTCGATGTTTTATTTATAGCAGCTTAATTTTCTAATTGTATGGCTCCTCTTTTAAGAACTTTCCCACCTCTTCTGATGTGAATGTAGCATAAATTAGTAGTTGGTTCTTCCAAGTTCCTGTGGGTTGAATGCGGTATCTGAGATTATGCAAAAAAAAAAAAGAAAGAAAAGAAAGAAAAAAGAGAGGAAAAGAAATTCCTACCTAAGAATTTGGAAGAGCTTTTATTAATATATCTAGCAGAAACTAACATTTCACGGGCTATTGACGACGTGTTGCAAATATTCACTTGAATTTTTGCCATGGGGGGGCAGTTTTTGTAAGGTTAACAGCCAGATTCCATATCGACCTCAGATGCTGTGTACTTTTTAATTTTATTTTTTTATATTTTGCCATGTTGACTCTTCTCTTAAACAAAATGAAGATGTCTCTGCTGAGCAAAATGCTTAAGCCAAGCCTGTTTTCCTCTGCAGTGTAAACAAAATGTTTTCAGCAGACTTGGCTGTAATAGCCATCTCTAAGATTAGGGAACAATTGAGTCTTTATATAGAAAAGGTCCCCTTCTACCCCATCCTCAGAGTTCAAATTCAGTATATAACACTTTGTAGGTTATTGTTTGGATTTGGGGTTTTTTCTTTTGTTTCAGCTATCTATAAGGTCTTTTACTAGGAGTAGAGATGCATTTTTAGCTGGTTGGGGAAAAAAATCAAACTTTTTCTTCTCCAGTTTTTGCCAAGTTTTGTCACACTTCAAGCCTATGCATTAATTACGCTTCTTAGTGATACTGCAAAAAGAAATCTTATTCTTGAATTGTTTTCCTTCCTGTGACTGTGTTGCTGAGGCTGCATGTGATGGTGCAGTTGAAAATATTCCAGCCTGTGTGTCCAGTGAATTATCAATCTATAGACCTCAGAACCCATTCAGAAAATAGGATGCCCTCACCCTCTGCTGCCCGTTGCACCACACCCTCTTAGCTTTCTTACCTACAAGTACAGGGTGTCCACACAGTCTAGAAACAGGTAAATACACATAATGTTGTCAAGAACATCATCAATCTATTAAAAACAAAAACCCACATAGAATGTTCTCTGTATTTCCAGAGTCAGTGCGTACCCTGTAATAAGCTCTGTAGGTTTATGGCCAGTGCCAAAAGTGTGTGTATTTTCAGAGATGGTCCCTACTTATTAATGATGGTGGTGTTTTCTTGACCTTGAATTTGACAAAGGGGGTACTGGCATCACATTCTTTAGATTTAAAATAATGATCAGCTTCAAGAACCTATGAACATAGTAATAACTTAATAAAAATAGAACACTGACCCTCCCTGCCCTGCCCACAATGCTTCCCCCGCACTGCCTTCACTGCCAAAGAAAAGAGGCCATGAACATTTACAGGATGGCAGAGGGAACACTGGTCAGGAAACAGAACAACTCCCCACTGGCCGGGCATTCCTGCTATACTTAGGTGAGTGGTCACTTGGACTAGATCTGAAGGAATTATCAAGTATTCTAACGTGAGTGGTTTTTAAACTGTCAATCTCTTGTAGTATCCTCCTACCACCACCACTTAAAAAAAAAAAAAAGAAAATGACAGAAGCTGCCAGTGTTTGCCGCACAGAATTTAAATAGTTCTTGGCAGTTAGCCACATACCTGAGTTTGTTTTTAACGAGAAACTGCACACCAGGAAAATTGGTACCACCCTGACCAAGGGGTCTCTGCCAGACTCCCATTGTGGGGTCTTCATTGTGACAACTGCTTGTTTTGTCCATGGGAGAGGAAAGGTCAGATGAAGGCAAGAAGTGTTCTGTTTTAAATAAAAAAGAATTAGTGTTTCCCCAAAGCACTTTGTGCCTCAGTTCAGTTTTCAACGCTATCAGTCCTCGCTTCCCAATCCACTGGCCCGTCTCGAGCCAAGGTTAATACGTTGAGACTGTCTTTACAAAAAGAAATTCCTCTTTACTGCTAATGGGAACAGCAAAAGAAAAATTGTGAAGATAGTTTACAATATCGTTGTAGCAGAGATGTGAATTGAAGTCCTTTTCTTTCCCTTCTCCCCTGCTTTCTGGGACCTCCCACAGAATCTGGCATGCCTTCTCCCTGGGCTCGACAGGTGTGCATGGTTCTGAGGGCTGGGTTGTAGGAGGTGAGCTGGAGCAGTCTTCCTGCAGGACTAGCCTTACAGCAGAGCTTTATGGAAAGGAAGAGAGTCTATCCTAAATGTTTTCGCCAAAAATGAACAAGGCGGGGGGGTCTTTATACAAAACTAAGCAAAAACCTTTGGAATCCTTCAAGAAGTTAACATACCTTTTAAAGGTAGTACAGGTTCTCACCAAGTGATGCATTCAGCATGACACTTCTCGCCAGAAAGTTCAGGATAAGTTGGAATAAATGTGTTTAAAACACCACCCCTACCCCCCCTTTTAATTTTGTCCAAGGAATTAGTTACTTAAGTGTAGTATTTCTGAATGTGCCTTTGTGAGTACAGAGACCGTCTGTTCTAGGAAGAAGCTAACCGTGGGGATAAAACAGCAAGGCGGTCAGCGTAGTCTTTAGGGAAGTCAGCGATCCTCCTGGCGGTCCCCAGGGGCGGCTCTGGAGTTTTCATTAGCATCGATATTGCACAGTGTAGAGTTGTGTGGAAGAGATTCTGGGGCTCGGGAGGGAGAATGAGGTGATGATGGTGCACAATGACAGAGACCCAGGTTCATCCAAGAGTGCAGGTTGAATTGATCTATCTGCAGTACCTAGTTTCCTTCGTGTGTGTGTGTGTGTGTGTGGCTGTTTTAGTTTTTGTTTTTCTGTAAGCACTGGAGAACTGAAATATGGTGATGTTTGTGACACATTCATGCATGTCAAGAAGGCGTTTTCTAGCTTCTTCCGTGTGCGGGGGCGGGCAGCGCATTTCCACCCTGTGAGTCTGTGTCCTAAGAAGGCAGTTACTTTCCTCACATCATGTTGCTGTTTATGCGAACAGGGTATTACACGCAAGGAAAAAGCTTCTGAGAGAATAAGATGGAAGTGTTTGAGAAAGAGAAGAGAAAAATCTGAAATCATATTTTATTTCTTCAGAACTATTATAGTTAAGCATAGAAATCTGCAGTGTCTCTTCATTTGCTTTTGTGTTTGTTTTAAACGATGCCACCTCTTCTCCCCATGCCCTATCTTCTAAAGAAACCGCAAGTGAATGCTAAGGGCCATCTCCATAATTCCTCAGAACTCCCCAAAGAGGAAAACAATCCCTCCCGCAAGATTCCTTCAGCTTCATTCAGGAGACAAAGGGAGGAGAGATGCGGCTTTCTGTGCTTCTCTCTCATTCCTCTCTAATGGCCTTGAAATGTATTATTATGCAAATGTGAATTTTGATACTGAATTTAAGAAGAGGTTGTTGGATTTTTTCTTTTTTCAGAAAAAAAAGGTCCCATATGTGGTCATCATTGCTTCTTTATTTTGTAACGTGAATTGTAACTATGCATTCTGCAAAAGGGGGGGTGGGGAGGGCAGAAAGGGGAAGGAAGTAGCTTTGCATCCTTGTTCTACGGTTTCTGTGTCCATGGTATCCCCACATCCTGGCGGGGAAGGGGAGTGAGAGCCGGAAGCAGTCAGGTCGGCACAGTGAGGTGGAAAGAGACCTGGAGCCCTCCCTGCAGTCCCGGGGAGGGGGGCGCTGCAGTTCCTGTCAGCTGGTGTGCTACAGGATTCTCCGCCCTAGCCGTGCAGTGTTAGCCCAGGGCGACAGGGGGCCCCAAAGGCCCTAGTGTTCTCTGGGAAAAAGTACTCATCCTTTCCTGAATTCAGAACCCTTTCAAGCTCAGGAAACCATGCCTCACTCGTGCTGACCTTAAAGTTAATCTTTCTGTCGATTTCCAGAACTCCTCCTCCTCCTCCTCCTCGCTCCTTTTAATTTTTCTTTTTTTCTTCCTTAATCCTTTTTAAGTGAACTTATTTATAAGGAAACTGCCCTGCTCTGTGGGGAAGAGGACTGTTGCTTGGCAGGCAAAAAGAAGTCTCTTCCTCATCCACGACCCCTCAGCCAAACGTAATCTCTCTGCTTCCTTGCATTTGTTCCGCTAGAGAGCTAGTGAGCAATGAGGTGCTGGACACGGGAACGCCTACAGCCTCCTCCTCGTCCTCATAGAGTTCCTTTGTTGATTTTGCCTGTGGTGAATCCTGGCACCTGCGTTGCTCTGGTCTAGGCATTATCTGCAACCTACAGTATCATAAGCCAGAGATTGTTCTGCCCGTATTCAGTGTTTCCACGCAAGCAGTTTTTGTTGTTGATGTTCACAGTACTGTAACGAGTAACAGACTTGATCACAGTCTCCTCGTGCCCCGTGCAGGGTGTATAGGCACAATCTTATCAGGGTTCCAATCTGTTAGATTGCCTTTAGACAAAACACAAAACAAACAAACAAATAAGATCCTGACGTTTCAGCTGTCTAACACAAAACAATACCTCGAGGTACATTTCCCCTGCGATGTAGACCCTTAACTCCCCTCTCCTTCTCTGACACCAGTGGGTTATCCTTTTTAAAATATGAATGTGTAAATAGTAGGATAACTTTTACAATTTTTTTCTTTGCTGTGAAAGTAGCCCTGAAATATGATATTTTTCCATTTTTTTTAAGCCATCTGAAGTTTCAGATCTTCTTTCATGCTTAAGAAGAGAAAGCAGAACAGGTCAGGGGAGTGGACGTGCATTTGTGGGGTGGTGGTCTCTCCACTGTCTCCCACACACAGTGGCAGCCGACCCGTGTCCAAACCCTGTTTCGAAGAGATGCCATCTATTCCAGATCTAGTTCCAGGGTGAGGAGTGTCCAAATTTCTCTCTTCCAGAAGATCCATCCCCTCCAGGCACTGCAGGATGTTTTTTAACCTCAGACCTTGAGCTCTCGACCTTTCCTGCTTCACCCGCAGGCTCACTTTTTGAGTAACCGAGTAGCATTCTGTGGTTCATAAAGGGACTCATCCCTGGCATTTCAATTCGGCACTGTAGAATTCATAGACTTACCACTTTACAATGCTTTAGAAATGTATTGATTTCTTACTTAGAAGGAAATTCATCTGAGACGTGCAAACAACCTTCCTGAAAGGTGTGGGCACCCTCAGGCATATTCCTCTGAATGCCTTTCTACGTGAAGCTTGAAGCTGACATTAGGTAGAGGGATATAACGTTTAACGAATGCTGCTTGTAGGATCTGTCAGCTACGGCTCTCCTAGATTTGGCGACCCACAAGGCAGGGTCAGAATAGATCGTTTTGAATAGCTTCTTCACAAACGCCTCTCCCCCTGCCCCCCCTGCCCCCGCCGCATCTTAAAGCTAAACCCTGTATCTGTTTAAAGGCCCTTTTTAGTTTGAGCTCACCAATCTTGTATAGTGACGACTTCCTTCGAGGGAAAGAAGCTTGAGAATAAATGCACACCTATTCACCACCCACCTTCTGATTTGAGGCGCTATCCACCTTTGGATTTTATTTCTGTTGTTTGTTTGGAGGCCCCTTTTCTGTCGGTCTCCTTCCTCCGGTCCCCCATAAGTTCGTAAGTTCTTACTGCCCTTATATCCATCCACGATGCTCCCAAAGGGCTTTGCTGATCTCTGCACTTCTTTCCTGGGACCCTCCCGCCCCACCACCCTTTGCACACACCAGTGACCAAAGTGTGTCCAGTGATCTCACAGAAGTCGTCAAAAATGGTGCCTGCACCACGAATGTGCTCACAGAGACACGTGCACAAGATTCTGCACCCTTGGCCTTAACCTCTGTATGACTTAAGGTGCAGGAACATTTTTAACAGGTTATTAAAAAAAAAAATCCTTCTGGGAGGGGAAAAAAAGGCAGACAAAACAGCTCAATTGTGCCCACTCCTAACTCTGCTATTTGCCTACAACTTAATTCTGTGCCCACCCCACCCATCCCTGTTTTGAGTAACCAAAAAGAGACAACAAAAGCAACCTGAGGAGAGGTTTCTGGACTATTTTATCTTTCTCCATTTAGCTGGAGATATAAATGCTGCTTTGGGTTCCATAATCCTAGGGGCTGTGTTTACATAGTACAATATATCCTACCAAATCAGGAAACAAGCATGGGAATCTCTGCAGTGAGAGAGAGCTAATTAGGTCGCCGATGGTGAACAAGAGAAGTGAGGGGGTCCAGGGGTGGGCGGCACAGGAGGGAAGAGGGAGAAGTGCTCCCCTCCTCCCTTCGCTTCTCTCCTTGGCCCCTTTCAACAGAAGGCACAGAGAAAGGCATCAGAAAGAGGCTGGAGTTTTAAAAGGCAGCTTTCCAACTTTGCACACAAACAGGTTAACAGGAAGGTACAGCAAAAATCCTCTCATCTGAAACACTCAGCAGAAACAAAACCTACCAACCTGACTCCATAGCTGCACATAGTGACGCTCTCTGCAAGTTACCTAGAAGTGTTTTGTTTTTCTTATACTTGAAATAGCTTTTACGATGTTACTTTGGCGGCTTTCTTTTCTCTCTCCTGGCGGGCAACAGAGGAAGCGGATGATGGGATCCAAGGAAGTGTGAGGGGAGAAAAGGAAGGATATGGCATTGTCTTTTTTGTGTGTGTTTCCTTAAACATATAGAGGTTTAATCGAACTCCCATGTGTTGAAATTGCTCCTCATATTACTGGTTTTACATGGACACAGAAACTAGGCACTTTAGAGGTGCACTTGCATGGCAGGCTGGGCCCCCCTTTTCTCTATTTTACTTTTTTAGTATAGTGGTACTTAAAATCACTGGTTCACTTAAAGAAAAAAACAAACAATAAAATGTTAAACTCTACTAATGTACAAATAAGCTGAAAAGTTGCATTTTATGTGTATTTTTCGCCATAGCAGGTACTGTATTTCTCATGCTGGATTTAAAAAAAAAAGAAAAAACCAACAAAAAAAACTAAAGGGTGGTGTTTATTGGATTGTGACAGGTTGCGTATTGAGGAACTAAGTCGCCGTCATTTCATTAAAACTGAGAGATGATGTAATGCATATATAAGAGTTTTCTGAAGGGTTTTTTTGGGCTTTTAAACAGCTTATTTTTGTTTTGTTTAGTTTTTTATTTTATTTTATTTTGGAAAGATATGATTGTATTATGTGCAACTCAGTTGCTTACATTATAACTACAAAATATTTTTGGGTTCCTGGAAAAAAAAAAACAAAAAAGAAAAAAGACTAATAAATGTGTTTGGCTGCTAAGCATTGATTGTGGTTTCCTGTTTTATTCTGCCGATTTAGTTTGTTGTTGGTTTATGTTTTGTTTCTTCTTCTCTCTCCCTCCCTGCTCCACCCACGGAAGCTCCCCGAAATTCAGCATCTGAACTGGGCCTCCGTTGTGTCTGTCTCGCCCTGTGAGGTTTTGGCTGTTGGGGTGGTCAGCATGGCGGGGCGGCGGTGGGCCCAGGCTCCTCGCTGCCTGCCCCCAGTGCGGGGTCCCCAGTCTCTAAAAGAAACTTGATATTCTCCTTCTGCCTCTTGTTGTTGTCTTGTTTAATCCCTCCTTGCCTTTGGAGTGAGAACCAGGGGAGCGGAGAGGAATGCCCGCCGGAGGCTGTGGCTGACGAGAAGCCAGCCCGCTGTTTCCAAAAGTCCTGCACTCTGCGCCCCACTCTGCTCTGAGCACTGCCGGCTGGCTGAGGAGGTTGCCCCCATCCCAACAGGCTCTTATATATGCTTAGCTGCTAAAACAGAGACTTGTTGGACATGTGGCCATGAAGCGCCTCTAGAATGGCAGAGGGGAGGAACGGAAGGAAATGAACATTTTCTAATTCCCAGGTACCATTGTCTGACTTCATTCTCAGAATGCTGTGCCAAGCAGATGGCAGCGAACCCATTTCACGAGGAAACTGGCTCAGAAGAATTTAATTAGCTAATAATAGGGAACACTGATCGCTTGCTTACTATAGACTGGGTGAGCCATGTAATGTACATTCACTTATTTCATTGAAACTCCTCTCAATCACTGGTGAAACCGTAACAGGAATCCAGATAGGATCCAGAAGTTACTGTGCCAAAATGCCCTCTGCAGAAAAGCACCTGGGTTTCTGAGAAAATGTTCTTAAGTGAGTCTTGTAGAAAGCGGTAGGCCATACACCTTCCAATTCTTGGGTGGTAAACTACGTCAATGCTGGGCAATGTGAGACGAGGTGAACGAGATGCTTGAGAACAGCTCGAGGGCCGGCCTGTTCCAAGCAAGTGCTATTTCTGAGGAATAGAGAGCGTTGCAGAAACTCTGAAGACATGTATCACCAAGGACTTTATTTTAAATTTGGAGTATTTTAGAAATGTGTCAATGGCTAAGGATGGGGGGGTTGTAGAATGAAAGGTAATGGTTAAGACTTTAGCATCCGACTTAGCCTTCCTCACACCTGTGGACCCTGCCATCACCTTAGGTGACTCCCAAGTGTCCACATGGAAATCCGCCCTAACAGCCAGGCTTCTACGAAGTTTCTTCCTCCAGACCACCCCAGCCACACACTCCCATAGTCACCCCAAATCGCTCCCCTCCAGAATCATGAATTTTAGCATCCTTGACTTTACCCTTGTGTCTTCCCAACTGGTTCTCACTCCTGTGTTTTAAAACTCATCAGCCACTCCAGGACACTGACCTGTTTACTTTCTTCCAACCCATCGGCCCTCTCTTTCCTCCTTCCTAATGCAGGTTAGGTTTGGTAGCCCATAATTTCAACAACATGGTTGCTAACACCTTCCCTTGCTGCTCCTGTTTTGACAACCATGTGACAAAATCCCCACTTTGGAAACCCTACTCTGTATTTTCTGCCAGTACCTAAGAGCAGCATGGCTCAGAAAAAAAGTCACGATGGGGCCAATAAGGACTCCTGTCAGTCTGTAACCAACCGGCAATGAGACCTTGACGCGACGCAGCGAGCATCCTAATGCACAGAGAAAGAAAATGAGAGGTGTCAGAAAAATCCCCTAAATTCCTGCTTCCAAAGTGTAATCAGAGAGAGGTGCTTCCCCCTTCAAGTGCTGCTTCCTTCAGTGTGTGGGACCCTTTCCCTTCCAGCCCCTTTGGGTACATTTGACTCTCCATCATCCATTTTTTCTTCACGTGTTTGGCTGGGAGCCCTGGCCAGTCGGCATGCTCAGTCAAGTCCATGCTATTGTAGACACCCTCCTGTGGGCCCCTGTCTGGCCCCTGCCCCACCAGCTGCTGTCCCATGTTTCTTCTGGAGAAATTTTCTCTCCTCCCCTTCCTGGGTCTCTGCCTCTGTCGTTCCCCTAAGGTCACTAACAGCCTCCCTAGTCAGTGGACACAGCCATTTACCTCTTGATACCATAGCCCCTGGATTTCCTTCTATGCTCTAATGTGTTCCTTTACCTCTTCCATCTCTCTCAGCCTCTGTTGCCTTGGCCAGGAAATGTTGGATTTTGTCAGTGCTCAACCCCAGGCGCCGCCTTGTTCTCTGTGCCAAAATCCTAGGTGGTGTCCTCCTCACTGGCCGCCTTTCTTAATCCCTTTTTTCCTCTGACTGAGCTCTAAATTTTAAATTTTGGAGTGCCCCTGGGCTCAGGCCCAGTCCTGAGTTTTGCTTTCTAGTCACGTTGATCCTCCGAGATGAGATCAACCAGCCCAGGGTGTTTTGTTTTGTTTTGTTTGACAGAGAAACACATCGAGAAAGGGAACACAAGCAGGGGGAGCGGGAGAGGGAGAAGCAGGCTCCCCGCTGAGCAGGGAGCCCGATGTGGGGCTCGATCCCAGGACCCTGGGATCATGACCTGAGCCGAAGGCAGACGCTTAACCATCTGAGCCACCCAGGCGCCCCAACCAGTCCTGTGTTTTTAAAAATACAACACATGTTGCCATCCTACCCAAATTATATCTCCAACCGTGGCCTTTCTAATGTCCTGTCCAACTGACTCACTGTCTACTTCCAAGTCTAACGGTCAAATCCCTCCACCTTCCTCCTCAAATCTACTTCCCTGGTCTTAACCATCTCAGTAAATGGCACCACCGTTCACCTAATGGTTCAAACTCACAGCTGCTTCACACCACTAATTCAGCCATCAGGAAACCCTTCAGCTGTATGTTAAACATACTTACCCACATGGTCCACATCTTCCCACAAGCAACTCAGGTCCAGCCACCACTGCAGGAGGCCCTCCCCATCTGCCATCCTCCCCTCACGCCCACCCCAGATTTCTCTGCTGGTTCATGTCACTACCCTCCAGGGCTTTCTCCTTAAAATAAAAATCCAAATTCCACCATGGTCCGCAAAACCCATACTCAGTCTCATTCCCTGTGATTCTCAATCTCAATCCTACACGATCCCTGTTAGCTTTCCTTCTCTCAATCACACCAAACTCATGCCCACCTGAAGGCATCATACTTCTTTTTCCACTGCCTGGAATGCTCTTGTCCCTGCATCATTGTTTGGTCTCTGGGCAAACGTGCGGTCTTAACTTGCTTATCCCATCAAAAATAGCTGTCACTGGGGTGCCTGGCTGGCTCAATCGGAGGAGCATGCGACTCTTGATCTCGGGGTCATGAGTTCGAGCCTCACATTGGGTGGAGAGATTACCTAAATAAATAAACTAAAAAAAAAAAAAAAAAATAGCTGTCACCCCCACCCCCACCCTAAGTTACTCTATGCTCTTGTCCTGCTGTATTTTCTAACAAGAAATTATCGCTTTCTTTTTATTATTTATTTATTTGAACTAGAGAGAGAGAGCAAGCACAAGGAGGGGGAGAGAGAGGAGCAGAGGGAGAAGCAGACTCGCCACTGAGCAGGGAGCCCGATGCGGGACTCGATCCCAGGACCCTGGGATCATGACCCGAGCTGAAGGCAGACGCTTAACCAACTGAACCACCCAGGCGCCCTGGAACCTACCACTTTCTAAAATTATCTTGTTTATTCTTCATCATCCATCTCCCTCACTGGAATGTAAGCACCACACAAAAGGCAGAATTCTTTTTTTTTTCCTTTTTAAATTAAGTAGGCACCATACCCAATTTGTGGCTTGACTCAACGACCCAGGAGTCCTATGCCAGTCAGGTGCCCTAAGGCAGAATTCTTTTCTGTGTTGATCACCAGCTCCAGAGCCTAACACTCCTATGGTTTTAATTACCATCTGTGTGCTAATGACTGCTGAATTTATATTTCCAGCCCTTACCATTGGGCTCCAGACCTGGATGTATAATCGTCTACTCAACATTTCAAAACACCTAGACATCTTAACAGCACTGCAAACTCAACACATCCAGAACGGAAGTCTGTCCTGCCTGCAGCCCCGCCTCCCACCCCATGGTATATGGCATTATCATCCATTCAATGATAAAACCTAGAGACCCAGGAGCATCCTTGACTCCACCCTGTCCCTTACTCCCCAGAATTAATCCATCACTAAAATGGATTGAGTGTACCTCTTAATCTCTTCCCTTTCTTCAATTCCTCTGCTCTTACTTCTCTTATCCAAGCTAGATCTATACCCCTAGGTCTTATCTAGTCCACGGCATTAGTCCAACTGGCTTCTCGTGTGTCATTCACCCCAGTTTCCCTGCCCCTGATCCATTCCATACATAACAGATGGAATATTTTCAAAACACAAATCTGATTAAGTCACCCTCCATCATTAAAGCCTTTTAATGATTTTCCATTGTTTAGAATAAAACCCCCAAATATCTTGTTTCCAACAAGGATCTCCTGGTCTGGCCTCCCATCTACTTCTCCAAATTTACCTCCCTCTCTTCTTGCCTTTGTCCTCTACCCTGTAGCCTCATCAGCTGACCACTGTATCCCAATGCCTAGTACAATGCCTGGCACAAAGTATGCACCATTGAGGAATGAATGATTCTAATGGGCAACAGGACATTACATCAAGAATTTAAGAAAGAGGGACGGGGGCGCCTGGCTGGCTCGGTAGGGCATGCAACTCTTGATCTGAGGGTTGTGAGTTCAAGCCCTATGTTGACTGTGGAGCCTACTTAGAATAAAAGAATTTTTAAAAAAATGTAAGACTCCTGATCTAGAGATGTTGATTTAGGTAACAGTGACAACCAGCTGGAAGTGTCTAGGTGGCTTTTGAAGATCGAGAACTAAAGCTTTGGAGAACCCGCAGACTCAGAAGGCAAGCCTTGCAGATGTGCAAGCCGTTTCCAGTGGGAGGAAAGGTGGGTTAAATCTTGGGGAAACTCCCACTGCTTCCTTTTCCAGGAATGAGAAGGGGAAATGTTAGCAACAAAAGAGCAGTCAGAAAGGGAGGGGACTCAGTACAGTTTTGTTTTCAAAGCAAGGGGGAGGGCTTGTCAAAATGGCTAAGCACTTCAATCAACCAGGAGGAGTGATTTAATATAGGAAACAAGAAAAATTGTTGGACTCAAAAATGAAAACGACATAAAGCCGTACATTAGGAAGCTGGCTCCCAGTTCTTTCCCTGCCTATTTCATTGCCTGCATGTCCCCCCAGTACACAGACTTTATTAGTGATTATTTTTTTTTTAAAAATACTGAAGTATAGTTGACATACAATGTTACATATTAGTGGTTCTTCATGCAAATATAGACAAACGAATATGTTATGGGAAAGGGCCTTTTGATTTGTTTATTACAGGAAGTTTGTTGAGGAATCAGTGAGTGTGGTTTGGAGGAAACCAGAGGGCAGAAGTTATATGACAGTGCTAAGGAATAAAGCAGGGAGGGGGGCACATTTGTTCAATACAGGAGGAGTCCTGGACGGTGAGTGAGGTAGGGAGTCAGCTTCTATTCTTGCCTTTGCTCAGCACTGTACACCTGGGAATCATCAGCCACATTCTGCAGGTGAGAAGACCCAGGTGCTGAAAGATTAAGTAATTGCAAATCACACAGTGCCAGGAATGGTTGGTGAAGACGCAGCCAGAAAGAGAGGTTTCCATGTTAAGGAGGTAACAGAGCAAGTGAAGATGTTTCTATAGTGGAAGAGACCTGTGCTTTTTTTTTTTTTTTAATCACAAGAAGGGAGGCAGAACTAGAGAGATTAAAGATTCGACATAAAGTAATTGAAAGAGCAAGATCCTTTCCTGAATGAAGATCTAGAAGACTGGAGGCAGAAACTCCTATGTTGAGGGGGAAAAGTGACAGCAGGGTGAAGCAGAGGCAGGAGAGAGGGCTGGAAGACTGAGGTGACAGTTGAGTTTGCAACAGTCACAGTGGAAAGTGAGAATAGTAAACTCATCACTGCACATCAAAGCAGTGACAGCTCTGACACACTCCGCAAAGAGTGGGAAGCTCCCGGAAGTAAATTCTTCATCTTCCCAGAATTGTCTGCCCTCACCCCCAACACCGAGCCTCTGCAGTTCAAGAAGGGATGTAGAAGACTTGAGTGACGAGCCCAGGTAACTAACTGATGGGCTTCTCTGATGGCCAAGGTATTCTGGAATTAGTGCTTCAGTCAATTCTGGCTGCTAATTCTGGAGTCTAGGTGGAGGCACGAAGGATCCATGGAATGGGGACATTGAAGAAATGTGAGAGGTGGGGAAAGAGGAAGTGTAGTGTCAGGCTCTAACTTGTATCCTGCCTACTGTGGGCTTTAGTTCTCCCTCTCTGCTAGACTCCTTTGGGCAGCATTCATTCATTCATTCATCTAGCAGACATTTACTGAACACCTATACTATGTTAGATCCTGTGCTAGGTGCCAGGGACACAGTGACCGAGATGTCATGATCTCTGATCATGATGACATGATGAGATGATATGATCTCTGCCCCCACTGAGTCTGCCATCAGTTGGAAAGGCAAAAACACTGAACTCTGGGGACACCTGGGTGGCTCAGTTAGTTAAGCGTCTGCCTTCGGCACAGGTCACGATCCCAGGGTCCTGGGATTGAGCCCCGCATCGGGCTCCCTGCTCAGCGGGAAGCCTGCTTCTCCCTTTCCCACTCCCCCTGCTTGTGTTCCCTCTCTCACTGTGTCTCTCTCTGTCAAATAAATAAAATCTTAAAACAAAACAAAATGCTGAACTCTGGTGAGAGTTATGAGAGGCCTATAAGAAGACAGGAGGTCACTCGTCATCTAGGAGATCCCACAGGTGTGATCCATAGGGTTTTGAGTGAATCCATGAATAAATGAAAGCAAAAATGGAAAGGCGACAGAAAAAGAAACTTGTCAAAAGTAAGATCTTGAAGCCTTGAGATCTAATCAGCAACTTTTTTTTTTTTTTTTTTTTACAGTAAGCTCTACACTTAAGGTGGGGCTTGAATTCATGACCCTGAGATCAAGAGTCGAATAATGACTGGGCCAGCCACACGCCCCTAATCAGCAACTTTTAATATCCCTGAAGTATCATGGTTACTGGCAAAGGGGAGTTCACCTCAGCAAACAAGCTGGGACTTCAAAATGGAATTCCCCTGGGAGGTCTCCTCCTACTGAGGAACTCAGAAATAGGTTATTTTGGGCGCCTGGGTGGCTCAGTTGGTTAAGCGACTGTCTTCAGCTCAGGTCATGATCCTGGAGTCCCGGGATCGAGTCCCGCATCGGGCTCCCTGCTCAGCGGGGAGTCTGCTTCTCCCTCTCCCGCTCCCCCCTCTTGTGCTCTTTCTCTCTCTTTCAAATAAATAAATAAAATCTTAAAAAAAAAAAAAAAAAGAAATAGGTTATTTCAAAGCAGCATAGTTCCTGCTACTGTACATTTGGAGCTGCCGAGAACCAGGTGTCTGGAGCCCATCTGCCTGCAGTTAACTCCTAGCCTTCCCTCCTCCACATGAACACTCTCAAGACGCTCAACCTGCCCACGCCTTTGTTTTGCCACCTGCAAAATGGGGATCATAATAATGGCTAGCATTTACTGAGCACTTACTCTGTGCATTGCACCAAGAGATTTATTGTATTCTTTTTTTAGATTTTATTTTTCCAAATATTTTATTTATTTATTTTAGAGAGAGAGAGAGCGCACGCACAAGCCGGGGGAGGGGCAGAGGAAGAAGGAGAGAGAGAAAATCAAGCAGACTCCTCACTGAGCGCAGAATTGGACACCAGGCTGGATCTCAGGACCCTGAGATCATGACCTCAGCCGAAACCAAGAGTCCCACTTGCTTAACCCACTGATCCACCAGGTGTCCTCAAAATTTTATTTTCAAGTAAGCTCTATACCCAGTGTGGGGCTCGAACTTAACACCGTGAGATCAAGAGTCTCATACTGTGACTGAACCAGCTGGATTAAATGAGATCACGTGTAAAAACCGACTGCCTGATACCTAGTAAGACCTCCATAAATGTTAGAGGTTTTATCATTATTGGCCAACCACAGGAAAGACTGGGATCATTAGGGAACATTTTTTGGACTGAGCCTGAAGTAGGAGGTAGTGAGAAAAGAGGTGTTCCAGAAATGCCTTTACCAAGTCGTGAGGGGATAGGGCATGGTGTGTGCTGGGAACTACACAGCGTAGTGGCTAAGAGTGCAGACTCTGAAGTCGGGTGGCTCCATTACTAACTGGGTGACCCTCAGCAAGTCACTCAGCTTCTGGGAGTCTCAGTCCCAGCACTGGCTGAAATCCATTTTCACTGCAGTTTCGTGCAAGGGGCTCCCTTGGAACTCAACAAATGCCGATCTCCCTTGGACATCATTGCTCCTCAGAGCTGCGCTGGTGTGAGACAGGCAGTCGCAGTAAAGCTGGGCTGGGCGACAACTGTAATTAGTAATAGCAAACACAGGGGCATCTGGGTGGCTCAGTCGGTTGAGCATGGACTCTTGTCTTGATTTCCGGTCGGGTCATGATCGCAGGGTCGTCACATGGAGCTCTTCATCAGGCCCGCGGTACCGGGGGAGCCTCCCCGAGATTCTCCTTGCCCCTCCCCCTGCCCGAGCGCTCTCTTTCTCTCTAAAATAAATAAATGAAATCTTTCCAAAAAAATAATAGCAAAACACATAGCGGGTTTTCTAAGTGTCCCAGACATCCCTAGTCTATTACTCTAAGCTCATGGCAATCTTTTTTTTTTAAGATTTTATTTATTGGGCGCCTGGGTGGCTCAGTTGGTTACGCGACTGCCTTCGGCTCAGGTCATGATCCTGGAGTCCCTGGATCGAGTCCCGCATCGGGCTCCCTGCTCGGCGGGGAGCCTGCTTCTCCCTCTGACCCTCCCCCCTCTCATGTGCTCTCTCTCTCTCATTCTCGCTCTCTCAAATAAATAAATAAAATCTTTAAAAAAAAAAAGATTTTATTTATTTATTTGACAGAGAGAGACAGCGAGAGAGGGAACACAAGCAGGGGGAGCGGGAGAGGGAGGAGCAGGCTTCCCGCCGAGCAGGGAGCCCGATGCGGGACTCGATCCCAGGACCCTGGGATCACGACCCCAACGAAGGCAGGCGCTTAACGACTGAGCCACCCAGGCGCCCCTAAGCTCATGGCAATCTTAAGGGCAGGTCTTAATGTACCTTTTCCAGATGGGGACACTGACGCACAGAGCGGCTAACTTACGAAACGCCAGCCACGTTGTTTGTACACGAAAAGACACTCGCCAACCCTCACCTCAGCAGCCCGCGGCCGGAGCGCGACGGCTCCGAGCTCCGCCGTCTCCGGGACCCCTGGGCGGGACCAAGCGGAGGAAGTCCCGCCCCCGGCCTTCCGCTCCCGCCCTCGCTGGCCCTGCGTCCCTTAGCAGGGCAACGTGTTCGGGATGGCCGAGAGAGGCGACCGCGGCGGGCAGCAGGCGGCCTGCGGGCACGACAGCTACCGCTCGCCGCTTGCCTCCCGCTACGCCAGCCCGGAGATGTGCTTCGTGTTTAGCGAAAGGTGCAAATTCCGGACCTGGCGGCAGCTCTGGCTGTGGCTGGCGGAGGCCGAGCAGGTAACGGGCCGCGGGGATGGGGGCCGGGCGGGGAGAGGCGGGCGCGCCCCAGCACGTGCGGGGCTCGGCGACGAGCCTGGGCCTGGCCCCTGGGGCGGCTGCCCCGCTGTTTTCCGCCGAGTATCCCTTTCCTGGGGAGCTGTGGCCCAGGAAGGTCAGGGCAGGAGGGCGACACCTGTTGCTTCCCTTGGTTTTTTTTTGTTTTTAATTTTATGTGTTTATTTGACTGAGAGAGACACAGCGAGAGAGGGCACACAAGCAGGGGGAGCGGGAGAGGGAGAAGCAGGGAGCCCGATGCGGGGCTCGATCCCAGGACCCTGGGACCATGACCTGAGCCGAAGGCAGACGCCCAACGACTGAGCCACCCAGGCGCCCCGCCTCCCTGGTTTTGACTCACGGAGGGTTAGAGACGCGGAGGAGGCGGAGAGAAATGCACGCTGTGGTTTTAAGGGTTTATCTTGGCCATTCCTGCAGGAATACTCTGCTGACCACGGACACTGAGCGCTCGTTACGTGCTGTTGTGCGACTCTGATTTCTTTACACATCTTTTCCCGTTTAACCCATAAAGACTTGGCGAACTAAGTGGTGCTTTTCCCACATTATATGGGAGAGATCAAGCCTCAGTGATAGCCAAGCGCATTATTTGCACGTAACCATTAATAGCAGAACCTGGGTGTGAACCTGGGTTCAATGCAGAGCCTGAGCACTGAGCCACTTTGTTTTCCACAGTGCCTCAATGTAGTTAGTGACAGGACTGTCACTACAAAACTCATGTTTCCTAGGCCACTACTTCCGCTCCACTCGGCTGCGTTTTCCTTTCTAGGGAGGGAAAATCAGGGTAGGGGATTGTTAGATGGGATTTCTGGAGTCCTTTATAAGAGCTGCATAGAGAGCTATTTAGGTCAACGCTTTCAGAAATGGCTCCAGAGGGGCCTTCCCAGAGGAGTTGAAGGAAACTGAAGGTGATCCAGAGAGCTATAAAGTTTCAGAGGAAAATGCCACAAGAGGCAAGATGGCCGTGTCCTCTCAAAGGGCATCAGTAAACTTGGAAACAATCTGAGCACGTGCCTGGGACCAAGGTACAGCTGAACTCCCCAAACAGAAAACTCTTCCTAGATTTGCCCCCTCCCCATCACTGTGCTCAAGAAAATTAAGTGACATAATAATAGTGGACACACTTATCATGTCTACTATGTGCCAGGCACTGTCTTAAGACCTTGCATATTAATGGCTCATTAACCCTCAAAACAACCCTATGGTAAGTACTATTTTACAGATGTTTGACAGATGATGGAATGGAGACACAGAAAGACTTCATAAACTATTGGCTTAGATAACAGTAATGGGTAGAAAAGGACATTAATAGGGTGTTGTAGTTTATCATGTACTGGCACGTACTCTTTTCTCTTTCGTATGATACTCCATTATATAGATGAGGGTAGGGGCATTCAAAGACTTTGCAGGATCACCATAGCTAGGAAACGTCTTCTAGCTGGAATTGAAATGTAGAGTTGTCTGAATATGCATTCTTTCCTCTGCCCAGTCAGCACGTTGTCTGAAATGCATACAGTTTTGGTATAATCTGCTTTTGGATTATCTGTTAGGGTGTCAGAATTAGCATAAACTGCGTAATAATTTAGTAGTTAAGAAAAAAAATTGAATAAGAGATGATGAGGAATGCGGAAAAGCAGGAGTCGGGGATGCATTTTAACAAGATGCATTGCTTGGGGTAGGGAGCAGTTTGGCCACACTGCCCCCTGCTGCTTTGCTTTGGGAGGAGCCCTGAGATACCCCCTCTACTGTCTAACAATCCAACGCAGCCTTGCCCATATGGCTACTGAGCTCTTGAAATTTGGCTAGTGTGACTGAGGAACTGAATTTTTAATTTTAATTTCAATCAGTTTAAATGTAAATAGCCACATCTGGCAAGTAGCTACCGTCTTGAGCAAGACAGGCCTAAGATGCAAGATCCTCCCCAGGGCCAAGGCTTGGGAGTTTCAAAGAGAGGTTTGAATGAATTTCACCAATCTGTATATTCAGCACTTGAACCCAGGGTTCTGAGCTGCCTATGGGCTGGAAGCAGTTTTTTGACAGCCCGATTTTTCCAGTGATGGATGAATGTAAGATGTTTATGTGTTTATTTTCTCAATAATGTCCTGCAGTGGTTTTCAAAAACGTTTTACTGAGTTTGCTGTACATAATTTGTTGGCAAAACCACTTACAGCATTCTTAATTTTCATTTCTATAAGTAACTCCATCTGGGTCAAATGTAAAGTTTTGGCCTGGATCCCAACACTTTGGGCACTTAGAGGCCAAGCACTAAGGGGTAAGCAATAAATACAACAAACTCTCCTCTTATGGCGTATACATTCTAGGGGGAGGGACAGGCTAACACATTTGTAAAAATGTCATGTGGTGATAAGTGCTGTAAATAAACTTAGGTTAAAGGGATAGATAAATGACATATAAGAAGGATGTTTCATATTGGAGTCAGGAAAGATCTCTTTGAGAAGATGACATTTGAGCCCAGAGACCAAAACGTGTGAGCCAGGCAGAGATATAAGGGTAGAGGGAACAAAGATCAGAATTACATTGTTGTATATTTTGGTATTTACTTAGAATGTAATTTACATTATCCATTAAGAAAATCATACCCTCAGATGCCTGGGTGGCTCAGTTAAGTGTCTGCCTTCAGCTCAGGTCAGGATCCCAGCGTCCTGGCTCAGCGGGGAGTCTGCTTCTCCCTCTGCCCCCCCACTCACACTCGCTTGAGTGCTCTCTCTCAAAAATAAATAAATAATTTTTTAAAAAAGAAAATCATGCCCTCCAGGGCGTCTGGGTGGCTCAGTTGGTTGGGCATCTGACTCTTGGTTTCAGCTTGGTGGTGATCTCAGGGTAGTGGGATCAAGCCCTGCCTGGCGCTTCACACTCTGCACACTCCGCTTGGGATTCTTCTCCCTCTGTCCCTCCCCGTGCACGTGCGTGCCCCCCAAAATAAATAAATAAAATCTTTTTTTTTTTTAAGGTTTTATTTATTTGAAAGAGGGTGAGCGAGAGAGAGAGCATGAGGGGGAGGGGGAGAAGCAGATTCCCCTGCTGAGCAGGGAGCCCGATGCGGGGCTTGATCCCAGGACCCTGGGATCCTGACCTGAGCTGAAGGCAGTTGCTTAACTGACTGAGCCACAAAACAATACCTCGAGGTACATTTCCTCTGCAATGTAGACCCTTAACTCCCCTCTCCTTTTCTGACATCAGTGGGCTATCCTTTTTAAAATATGAATGTGTAAAATCTTAAAAAAGAAAACGTGCCCTCCTCTCTATATACTTTTAGTTGCCCCAAATTTTATTTTTATTTTTTTCTAAAGATTTATTGATTTATTTTAGAGTATGTACAAGCCAGGGTGGGGTGGGGATCAAAGGGAGACAAGCAGACTCCCCCACTGAGCAGGGATCCTGTCGCCAGGCTCAGTCCCAAGACCCTGAGGTCATGACCTGAGCTGAAATCAAGAGCTGGCGTGGCTCAGTTGGCTGAGCTACCCAGAGCCCTGCCCCAAATTTTAATTTAAGAATTGGGAGGTGGGGCATAAATGCTAACATGAACCAGTTTTTTTCTCAGTGTCACTTCAAGTCGTCGTGACACTTGAGGTTATTTTATTTTGTTTTGCCTGTTCTGTAGACATTGGGTTTGCCTATCACAGATGAACAAATCCAGGAGATGAAATCAAACCTGGACAACATCGACTTCAAAATGGCAGCTGAGGAAGAGAAGCAGTTACGACATGATGTGATGGCTCACGTGCACACGTTTGGTCACTGCTGCCCGAAAGCTGCTGCCGTAATTCATCTTGGCGCCACCTCCTGCTATGTTGGAGACAATACAGTAGGAGCCTGTTGTTTTGTTTCCACTTAGGACGTGGTCTTCATAATGGAATTATAAATTTTATGTGATTTTGTCTAATTTTAGGAAGTGACTCCGTAGATCTTTAGTTTTAAGGCCATCTTAAACTTGGGAATCTTCTGCTTTTGTTATCCTTCCAATCTAAACTATAAGCCCCTAATGACCTCCATAATATAAGACTGGCAGATACAGTTTATGCATTGGTTGGTTGGATATAAGTCAAGGTCTTAGTGTTTTAGTGGCAAGGTAATTGTCCAGAGGGATTTTCTTTCTAAAGTCCTTTATAACTCATTGCTGTAACTTCTGAAAAAAAAAAAAAAAAAAAAAAAGAATTGCATTGTGATTCTTACACAAAACACTTAATTGTAGGCAGAGCAGCTTATCGTCCAACATGAAAAAGTAATATCGCATTTTCCTAAGAGTTTACTAGGTGCTTGGCAGTATTCTGAGCATTTTGTATGTAGTACTTCATTTATTCACAACAACCAAAAGAGAGGTGCTTTTATCTCCATTTTTCAACAGCTTCTTGAGGTGTAGTTTATATACCATAAATTTCCCCATCTTAAATGTGCAGCTCAGTGAGTTTTAGTTAATTGATACAGTTCAACCTTCACTACACTCGGTTTTATGGCACATCCCTCACTCTAAGAAGTTCTCGTGCCTGTTTGCTTCTGTCCCCACGCAAACAACCGTTGACCTGCTTTCCTTCTCTGTAGTTTTGCCTTTTCTGGTAACGTCCTATAAATGGAATCAGAGTATGGAGTCTCTCGGATCTGGCTTTATGATCCCTGTCTCACGCATGAGGACACGGGAGAGG